GCTATTTCCACCTTCAGAAGCACTCAGAAGGCCATCAGCCACAGAGGCAATGTGTTTGTACACAGCTGGCAGGGGCACCAGGGAGCAGTGGCAGCAGAACCTGTCCTTACACCCAGTTTAAGGACTGGCACTGACTTAAACCTTATCTTATAGCAAAGATGCAAACAGGTTCAGCTCAAGTCCCCATGCTATTTCTCAAGTGACAGAGCTAATCCACAAAAGGTTCTGCAGCTAATTTTAGTGAGAGCTTCTCATGCACATACAGCTCACATAACCAACTGGTCAGGAACATGGAGTGAAGGATAATTTACCATAAAATAATTCACCCATCAAGAAAATAAAACTTGACAGTGCTTCGTATCTACTGGGTGCTACAGCTGAACTAAGCTGTAATCTTTTCCATTTTTTCCTGAAGTGATCAACTCAAAACAGCAAACAGCACCAGCAGAGCATCACCAGATTTGTCTAACACAGGAACACAGACAGTTCTGTGAGCTTTCCAGTACAGTAAGAGCACCATCAAGAAAGATGCTGCTGCAGGTTGTTCATACTGCTGCCACAAAAAGAATTTTGCAAGGGCAACATTTCCAAGCAAAATCCTTCCAGCAGAAGGATAGATAACCCATGCCACAGCTAGACACAACATACACACAAACACCAAGCACTTTCCAAGGCTGTATCATTTATGTCAGCCAGCCACCCTGCTGCACTCCACCCCTAAGCACAGCCTGAATGTCAGAGACAATCCACATACACAGTTATAAGCATGAAATCCAAAGAGATCCTCACCGTAATTTTGATGTACAATTCCTCTTTGCTACCCTGTACTACTTCCCAGATTTCCAAAATTATTTTTTTGGGGAAAAAAAAAAAAGCTTAGAAAAATAAAAGTACTTAGCTTCTAGATCAGAAACCACAGCAAGATTCAACACATTTTCAAAAGCATGCTATGAAGATGAGCATGTAGACAGACATCTTTTGCATACAGGTACCGGAAACAGCTGCCACCAGTATGAAATCACAGAGTTTCATTTAATGTCAAAATAACAGCTGGTTTCTTAGCTGTCTTTGCTTACCAGAACTTTCCAGTTACATTTTAAGAGCAGAGGAAGTTCACATATCCAAGTTGACATAACTTTGAACGCAGGCACACACGACAGTTAAACAAGCTAAACAACAGAAATACCTGAGTGAGGACAAACACTGCGACTGCCACACAACTCCTCATTCCCTAGAAAGCCCCAGGGTGCAGTTCAGAGACAGCTGTCACCTCCCTGAACACTGCATCTCCATGCTGACTGCTTAGCTGGGGTTCTACTACAGCACCGCTGACCTCATCCTCACTCTGCCTGTTATTTGTGCATGAACAGCACATACATATTATTCCCCAGCCATTAGTCTCAATAAGCTATCTGCCATTCAGTTAGGAAATCCAGTTATAGCTCACTGGCCTTGCAATGCTGCTCATAAATCTTATTAATTACCAATGCTTTAAAATCAATGATGTCCAAACGAAAAGCTTGCAAACATAAGAATTCCCACAGTTCTGACTCACCTTTGAAAATTACCCTGCAGCATATCAGATGGGTTTTCAAAAACTGATTTACAAAATGAATTGTAAATTTAACTTGCTAGCTGTACAAATGACTAAGGTTTCTTATGTAATGCCAGGCCCCTGACTGTATCACAGTATATTGATATAACATTGCAGTACGTTGCATAAAAGATATAGAACAAATAGTAATTAATTTTATAGCTTGATTATTCAGCTTAGGGCACGACTCTGTAGCCTGGTCAGGAATCAGAGTATTTAGCTCTCTTTTTTCCTGTTTGAGGGATAAGACTGAAGATAAAGGAATGACAGTGAGGTGAAACCCAAACATCAAATGACCTGGTCTTTCTGTGCCACTTAGTGATCAATTAGATTTTGGAAGCAGCACTCTAAATTTCAACTTCTGTTTTCACTTTCTGAAGTCAGAAGTGCAAAGAAAAACCTCAATAACCAACACCAGTGGAATTCCCCCATAGGCTGCTGCTTCTTTCTTGCACTGCTCCATGAAGCCAACAAGGAAATCAGTGTGGACTGAAGATCTAAATCAAAACAGCAAAGCCACCAACACTCAGGATACAAGAGAAGAGTTAGTAACATAAGAGAGGCCCCCAGTCTAACAATGGAAGACAACTCTACACAGACAAGACCATAAGAAATTTCAAAGAGATCAGGAGCAGCACTGAAACATGTGACAGCTGCTCAAGTTTTATAAGAGCAAAGAATGAGCACGGAAGGCTATGGGAGCCACGTTCTCTGCTATACAGAACCTCAGTGTCACTTCTCTCCAGGCCCACCAACGAGCACAGTGCTCTCACCAGTCACAGCATCTCCAGCCCCAGGGAGAGCAAGGCTGAACACACTCCATCGCGTGGCAAGGACCCCCAGCAGCACCCCATTCCACAGGGCCTTACCCACTGCTTCCAAGCAAACCAAGAGCAGGCCAAAACCAAAAGCTTCTGAAGCTCTGCGTGGCCTCAAAGCACCATGCCAGGATATCAAACTAAGACAAGCAACAGGTCCTAAAAGAATTTCTCCATCTTGCTTACATTTCAGACCTATGAGCTACAGATCATCGATTTGCTTTTCAGTTAAGTGAAGAGAGAATACCAATCCTACAAAAAAAACAGCACAAGTGGAGGAAGGCTGTTACTAAGCAACCTGATGCTCACTGCCAAACCATTTCCAGGTCAGCGTAGGGTGCTGCTGCTACAGCCATTCACTGTCAGGCCCAGCACGCGAGCTCTGGGAGTTACCTGCAAACAGGAAGGTGAGCAACAGGTTGAGAGAAGAGCTGATGCCATTATTACAGTTCATCATTCTGCTGGCAGCTTTCTTTCCTCACAGACCATTGTAAATAGAATAACAGCATTCTCTAGATTGCTTTTGTAGAATGTTTTTTCCTGAGGTAGCCTTGGATCACAGCACCTTCTCAACATATTTTATACATATATCTGTATACTGTAACTGATTAATTCTACCACCCTGTGTTTGCAGAATTTTAGATTTCATCTCTGGTTTTCATACAGCTTTAGCCTGAAATGTGTCTTCCTGCTACTACTACCTTGTAAGAACTTGTACTGTGTGCTTAGTCTGACTACACATCAAATATAAAATGATGCCAACGTGTAAATCATCCCACTTGGTTACTCCATTAGTTAACATTCTTTCTGTACATTCTCTGCCTAGACTATAAACTCTCCAGAACAGAGGCTCTCTTTTCAGATTTATGTATCCACATCCCACACTGCTGACCCTATGAGCTGCAATACACTTGTTTTTAAGATGCCTTTTCAGAAGTCATAAGCACTGCGAAAGAAGAAGAGGGTGACAAGTCAAACCATTTAATTACCCAGCCGTAAAGCAGGAAAATCAAAAGAGCTCATTATAACTTTATTGTCTTGATGCAGCATAACCACTGAAACACATAACCATCCAATTAAGGATGGAAGTTCTGGGGATGCTGGAAGTACATATGAAATCAGAAAACACTTTCCAACAGCACAGATTTCCACACATGCAAAGCAAACAGAGACAAGGCTGCCTTTGTGCTTCCTTCTTGCTAGCTCAGAAGGTCAGCTAGCTATTTGGTATCACCTTCAGCATCTGGCTTCAAAAAGATATATTTTGAGTAGAAGAAAGCAGTCAAGGCTTTCCTAGATCAGGATGTACAGAACAAGACAATATTGGCTTTACATGACAGACAAGATAAAACACAGTGAGTGAGTGACTGCCTGAGCTCGGCAGGGTCCTCCTCTGGGCAATAAGCTGTGCCACATGTACAGCTCGGTTCCAAAGGGCCAGGCTCACTTCGCTGCTGCAGTGTTATCACAGGTGGGGACATGGCCTGAAGTAATGACTAACACAGACCATTTAGAACAGAACATTTTGAGCTAGAAGAGACCCACACGGATCGCTAGGCCCAACCCCCAGTCCTAAACAGGACCACCAAAAAAAATCAAGCCCTATGGCTGTGTCATCCAAATGCTTCTCAAACTCCAGCAGCTCGGGGCCGTGCCCATTGCCGCGGGCAGCCCATTCCATGCCCACCTCCCTCTGGCGCAGGACTCACCCCTAACCACCCGCCGCCCCTCCCCAGTCGCAGCTCCACGCCGTTCCCTGGGGCCTCGCCGCCGTCCCCAGACGGCAGAGCTCAGCGCTGCCCCTCCACTGCCCGTGAGGAGCTGCAGACAGGCAGCACGGCACGCAGCACGCTCCATCTAGCTAACACACAGATTCCCCCGTCAGCCCACAAGGATGTTTACGCCACTAAAAGAAGTGGGAAGAGGGTCGCTTTGCCCCAATAACGACCCTCCGAGACGGCTCCGAGCAACGCACACCGCTCCGCGTTTCCCGACCCGAGGCCGCCCCGCACTGCTGCGTGACGCCATTCTCCCCGCCGCCAGCCCCGCTGCACAGCGCGGCCTGGGGCCTACCCTCAGCCGCCCGGCGCCCCGGGGACGTGGCAGCACCAAGGGAGGCGCCGGGCGCCCGAAGGCCTCGAGGCGGAAGCAGCACCCGCCTCCCCCCGCCTCGGCTTCTCTCCCAAGCGCTTCGTCCCGTCTCACCGTTGCTGTAGGGCTGCTGGCCCGCGCCGTTCTGGCTACGATAAGCGGCGGCGGGCCGGGCCGGCTGAGCCATGGCGGCGCTGAGCCGGGCCGGGCCGGGCGGGGTCGGATAGAGGCTCAGCGGAGCCGCCCGAGTGGCGGCGCCCGGCCCAGCGCTGCGAGAAGGGGCGGGGCTTCCACACACCGGAAGTACCGGGCCACGCACGCGCACTACGTACACGTGGCACTTCCGGAAGCAGCGGCGCTGCAGCAAGTGGGCGGGACGGGGCCTCTTAAAGGAACAGCCGAGGGGCGGGGCAGGCCGGGCCGTGGGCGGGGCCCGGCCCGGCGGTGCCGCCGTGCGGGAACGCCCCGCCCCACGGGCCGTGCGACGTGTCCGGCCCGTCACCCGTCAGGGCAGGGAGCCCGCGTGTAAAACACAGGGTCATCGCTACAGAAATTGCTTAAACGTCCCCGCGTTCCTCTCGGTCCCCACTGCGAGTCCGCTGTCGGCGGGGCGGCACTGCCGTACGCGGTGCTCGGTGAGAGCCGGCGAGTCGCCGTGCGGCACCGCGGAGTGGGAGCCCCAATTCGGCGAACGGACGGGATCCTCAGCGCTGGGGTGCGGTGACACGGCGCCGCTCGAGCCGATCGGGATACGGGAGGCCGCGGGCCGTGCGGGGCACCGAGATCGGGGCTGCCCCCCGCGTTCCGCTCAACTGCGGAGAAAAGGTGCGGAACGCGAGGAGAGACCGCCCGCCCTCCGCCTCCTCCACGGCAACGCGGTGACACGCGACGGATCCGCGCCCGGCCGACGGCGGCTGGGGGGGAGGCGCCGGGCGGAGCTCCGCGCTGTGCCGCACGGCCGGGCCCGGAAGGCGCCGCGCGGGGGGCGGAGCGGGGATCGGCGGCGGGGTCGATCGGTGTCGGTGCCGGTGGAGCGGCCGGAGCTGAGGCTCGGCGGTGGTGAGCGAGGGGACGGGGAGCCGACGGGGCGAGGCCTCGATGCCGGCCGCGGCCTCCGGGGCTCCTCCGCGGCGCGCTGCGGGCGGTGCCGAAGCCGCGGCCTGCCCTCGTCCCCGTCGCTCGGCCGCTGCGGGCTCCGGCCTAAAGCGGCCTGCGCGGGTTGCGCCGCGGAGCGACCGGGCGCGGGGCGTCGGAAGCGAGAGCGGCTGCGGGAACGGCGCTTCGGTACGGCCGGGCCGGGCCGTGGCGGTGGCACGGATAGGACGCGGCGCTCGGAAGGGTTCGATCCGCGCTGGGTGCCCCTCCCGTCGGCTCGGCATCTCCTTGGTCGCAAATACCGCTAAAAAACACCCCTTGTCGTGGGAAAATGGACGAGTTTCGCGTTTCTGCCCGATGCTTCCCTCCCTACTATTAGTTTTCTCTCTGCACTCCTAGCAACAGAAAGAGCCATTGTTCTCTGGGTCAGAGATGCTGAGCTGACGGCTATGAAGGCTGCCGTGTGCCTGCTGTGTCTTCTTCGGGCTCTCACGGCTGTGTCAGGCTGCTTTGGGTACATTTATTGCTGAATTCTCATCCGGATTTCTGTGCTGTTGTCACGAAAACAACCCACGGTCCTCCTGCTAGTAGATAGAATTGTTTTCCACACCATCCGAAAAAGCCCATTGCTTCTGAACGCCGTGAATCAGAATCCTGGTCACCCCTTAAGTTCCCTCTCCTCACCTGCCTGCCTGCAAGCAGTGTGGTTGAATTTCCTTCCCGTTTAATTTCTTCTTATTTTTTGCTCACTCTGTGCAGAGCCCCTCTGGGCGCTCACCCCCCTCTGGGGGGGGCTCTGCAGACTCTGATCTCTGGCTCTGAGATAACCAGCCCCATGCCTGCCGTCTGCTGCATGAATCTTTTATGATTATTTGGTGGTTTCTTTTGAGTCCCGTCTCAGATTTCACTTTGGTGTTTGTGATTTCAAGAATTGTATTGTAATATAACGTAGTAACCTGCAAGTGCCTTACAACTTTCTCCTCTGGTTGTTTAGCACATTGTTAATGATCTGTCAAGGTTTGTTCTGAGCATCATTTCTTCCAACACAGATCACGATAGATCACCCAGAAGATCAAAGATAATTTCATATTCGTGCTCTGATATGTTGGGTTTTTTGATGATTTGTTTTTAAAATAAGTACAGAAACTGCTGCAGTGGGCCCCGCTTTGAGACTATGATCTGAGAGCAGCTTCTGTGAGCTGGACTGCGACTGAAGCACTTACTCAGCTGCTTTTAGGGCCTCGTGTGCCTGTTGCAGTGCTGTCTTGACAGATAAACTGTGTACTTTGCAGTTTCAGATCTGCTTTGGATCAATGCTAACTACAAATATATTGTCACGGAATAAAGGACGCAGTAGAGCTAAGTATATGTCCTGCAATACATAATCTTTGTTATTCAGCCTGTCTAGTAGCAGCACTGTGTGATTGTTCTTTCTGAAATCGCAGAGATGACTCGCTATCAAAAAACTGATTAAAGTACCCAAAGAAAATCTGCTGTTAGCTCATTTTCGGGCCATGTTGTTTCCTCAAGCGTGGTGTCATAGAATACATTTGACTGAGACAGCAAATTGTCATTTTACTCACTGAACTTGTTACGGGTTTTGATTTTTGTTGTTGTGCAGAAATAATTTAGATTGTTAAGGTGAGCTTATTTGAAATGAGAATTCAGGTGATCATTTCTCTTATCTGAGAAGTTTCTCTTATCTGCGCGTTTGAGAAGTAAGCATTATTCTGTTTCTGGAATGTAGTAATTGACTTCTAGCCAGGAAAATGCAGGTCTAAGGCAGGGGCAAAAATCCCTGCTTCTCGTAGGAGAAAAAGAAAACATGGAACAACTGTGAGCAAGTTTGCTGTCTTATCCCTGCTGTCAGCAGCATTTTGCAGAAGATGGGCTGGAGAGGCTCCCCAGGAGACACAAGTGACACTTTGCTTGTGAAATAATGTTAACCAGGGTTGTTAAAGGTGTTTGGAGGTGGCAACCATCTGTTGTTGACGCTAGAAAACTCTTCTCATGTTTCTGAGAATCCACAAGTGGATAAGTTGGCGATGGCTGTGAACTGTCAGTACCAACAGGTTGTCAGGTGTCCGTTTCAATTTCTCCTTAAGTCTGGGTCCTCACAACTCATTACTTTCAAGGGAGTCCTTGAAATAGCCCTAAAATAGTTCTCACTGCTCTGCCTTAATGGTGCATCACGGGGGCCGGAAGGTCGGAGTCGATGCACGCTGGCTGCGTGGCCCAGCCGTGCAGTGTGCTGCGGGTTGTTGTGGCTCAGTGTGACACTGCCCTGAGCTGGGTTGGTGTTTTTTCTGTGCGATAAGAGTAGATTTAATATCTCTGTCCAAATAGCTCAAGTATGTTTTTACAATTTGCTGTCAATTTTTTCCCCATTTTAAAAGTAGTATTTCCCTTTAAGGGCTGCCGGCTGATAGCAAAGCACGTTCTGCTGTATTTGGAACCTTGCCTTGTTAGAGGTTTTTAGTGAGTGAAGATTTCCTTCTTTCATCCATAAGCTTCACAGAAGGAAGTGGTTAATACAGCTAAACTCTGTGAGGTTATTCTCACCTCAGTAATCTGAGCACTGCTCTTGCATCACGCTGTTTGCACTGATTTGCAAGTTATTTGGGCAGATCATTTTCCTAAGCCTTACAGAGGCTTTTCTCGATCGGTGTTTTGTTCAAGCAATAAATAAATCTGCTGACGTGTCCTCCTGCCATATTTGCTTATTCTTGACCTTTGCTTTTTAGACATGTAAGTGACAGTTTCAGCCATGACGTTGTGTAACTGGTTGTTTATGTATTGACAAGCTTATTTGTATCTTAAAATTTGCAACTGTTCCAGTTGGTCGGCTGTGGGAGGTGGGGAAGAGTTTCAGGGTTAGTCATGGGGAAGCCTAACGCTTCATCATCCTCAATCAGGGAGGGCAAGTATGGGCTGAACGGATTTTGTTCCTGTGAGCAAACATAAATAACAATAACATTTCATCCTCTTTCGGTATTGCCGTGACGTACCTGTTGCTGTGTGGAGGAAAACCTCCGTGTGTTGTCATGAGTGTGATTGTTAGGACAGGCAGACGGATTTGGGTCTGGTGCTGACCTGTGGTCTGACTGCTCTGTGCTACGCTCCAGGCTCAGGGCTGTCCTAAAGCCATCCTGCAAGCCCCAGCACACAAATACTGTGCTGACATACAGGGTATGCTGCCCTCAACTCAAAGACCTGAACTCCGACTTCCCAACCTGTTAGGAGGAATTAAGTACTGCAGCAGGGTTAGCTAGCTAATGCTCCTAAGGAAGCTGCCCTTTGGTCTTGCAAAAGCTTTTCCAGCTAGGTACTAATTTGCTCTGTCAAACTGGTGTTCTCGGTGTGACTACCCTCACTTTGGATAATGAGGAAGATGGAAGTTAAGAAACTAATTGCTCATGGCTGCCCTAGAACCTAGGGACAGCATTCTCTTACCTGAAGGCGCAGCTTCAGAAAAGGTGCAGTTGGTAGTGGTGGTGATGGCTGGATTTGGTGATCCTAAGGGTCTTCTCCAACCTGAGTGACTCTGTGAGGTCCTGGCCCTTCTCCCTCTGTGCTGTGTGTGTTCTATAAACTTTCAAGGTGTGAGATGTCCCTCAGAGGCTGCTGTTGTGGCTGGCTGTGTGCTGCTGGCCCAGTTGGCCACTTGCTGCCCCCCAGGGACTGGAATGCTGTTGTTTTTACCATCCTAGAAAGAAGGGGATCTTGTGAAGTCCCAGGGTACATCCTGTTGTCAAAGGGCATCTGCCCACAGCTGGTGCCACCCTGAGCATCCTCACCTCAACCCTCTTTTCCTGAGCCTCGTCCAAAAATGGGGGAGGGATGTGGTGTTCCAGAGTTCTGCTTTGAGATAAGTTTAAGTTTAAGCTGTAGGTGGTAGAAGTCTGTACGAGACAGTAGTGGGGGTTGCAGCCATAAGTGGTGGTTCCAGTGCCATGGGCCCCTTACAAGGCAAACAGACAGGAGGTGTGCAGACAGCAGTGTCTTATTGTAGAACCTCTCAGGAGTCAGCCTCAGGAAGCACCTCACAGTGTTTGATGTGTTGTTCTAACAGAGCATTCTATTTTCTGTTTATTTCAGACTAAAAGATTCAGATATGTCCTTCATATTTGACTGGATTTACAGTGGCTTCAGTAGTGTATTACAGTTCTTAGGTAAGTTTTTCCTGCTGTTTTTAGCAGGATTAATAGCATGTCTATTAACCTATCTTCAAACCGAGGGGCTTGTTAAATAATAACATTTATTTTAGTGTATATTCAGTATCACTGAAAAAAAAAGTTTCACTTATCAACACTGAGTATTTCCATAATGTATTCTCCACTCAATCTGACATTCATCCTGTAACCTCTTGAAAATTACTTTTTCTTTCAGGAACATAATAGGCTTGTTGTTTTTTTTTAATGACTACATTTAAACTGGTGTAGTCCAGCTAATAAAGCTTCTCCTGAGTTTTTTTTTCTTCTTTAAAGAATCCGACTCAATTATTTGGATTGAATTCTTTTGAACATAAGCATACAGGGTGAAACATTAGCTTTTGTAAAACGGGAGGGAAAAAGAGCACAAGAGGAATGGGAGTGCTACAGTACTCAGAAGAGGAGCAGAAGTTGCAGATAACATAGATAAAAAGGGCAGTGTACAAGTTTCAGGGATTCTATTCAAGTAAATAAAAAGAATTTGTGATTAATGGGCCATGGCAATCTGTGCCACCTGCATTTTATCAGTTGAAAGTTTAAACTTTTTCGCTTCATGTTAGACCCTTGGCCTGCCATTGAAATATTAGTCAGTAAAACTTTAACTGAGTTGACCAACCTTTCTTATCTCCTCTTACTTAGCCAAGCAGTGATTGCTGCACGCTAGCTTGCTTTCCTATACCTGCACATAAAAAGTCTAATTCTAGTGAGAGATGCTGAAGCCTGCAGCAGAGAATTGCCCTTTACATGTCCCTCTTATTCTAAAAAAACCCCAACCTTTCATTCTCATGTCCTGTGTGAGAGTGGCAAAAAATGCAGTTGTTTTACTACAGCTTAGTGGTGTTTCACTTAACTTGTAAGGTAAGTGTAAACTGCAGTTTCTTCTGTGATGTAAGTTTATATATGGAAATGCTTGTTCAGTTCTCTCCCTGTCAACATCAGTACTTTCACCTCTGTCCTGTAGTTTAGTGGTTAATGATATTTGAGTATAGGAGAAGGTGAGCTGGGAAATAAGAGTTGTGTTTGAAAAAGAGCTATGAAAACACTCTGCAGTTCTTGTAGTAAAAAAGGTTACTAATGAAATAAGCTGCGGTGTATGAAAGCATATTCTTCCCTGCAGGTTATAAAACATGCCCTGGTGGAATGCAGTTCCAGAGATTAGCTTGAAGGGGGGAGAAAGGTGAGCAAACAGCAGCAGTGTAAAGGTCAGGCAGATAGAGGCACATGTGATTGTGGATTGCACAGCATCCCCGGGGGTGGCTGAGGAACCCCCTGTGAAACAGTGCTATTTAAAATCTGACAAAAACAAAGTATGTGCAAGGATAGTATATTTGATAAGAAGTCACCACCACTTTTGCCCTCATCGGGCTTGAACTGGGAAGGACCTTTCTCATCAGAAATCATCCTCACTAGGCTGAGTGCAGCATCTGTACTTTATAATCAATATTGTGAATAGCACAGAAACTGGGCAGCACCTGTGGATCTCTAGCAGTTCAGATGTGGCTCCCAAACGGGCCAGGCTGTGTGACCATAGGAAGATGCAGTGGAGCAGAGATCTCAGGGTGATCAGTGCCTATGGAAAGGAATAAGGGCTCCAGCAATACTGTTGCTGGGTCGAGGTACAGAGCAGGGCACTGCTCATAATGTGACCTTTGAACAGCTGCAGAGCTCTTGTTCCTGTGGCACTCGGCACAACCTTTGGCAGTAGGCAGGGTTCTGGAGTCTAGTTTGCAGGTCAGGGGAGTTCATTGTTTTTTGGAGTAGGATGTGTGGATAACTTCAGTGGTAAAGTATACCTCACAGAGTACTGCTGTGTCATCACAGTGGCTGTAAAATAAACCTTTCTTTCAGTGTATGCCGCAATACTGTGACATTATCTAGTTTGATTAATTTTTTTTTCTGTCATAACAGGAGGGACTTGAACAAAATATACTCTTTTCCTGACCCGGGATGGTTGATATTTTAGAGTCCATTGTTAACACTGTGTGATAGAATGGCTTGGACTGGAGGGAAGGTTCATTTGGTCATTTGTCATTTGGTAGAGCAAAGCAAGCTGCCCTGGCAAGGTTCAGTTGAGTTTTCTTTTAGCTTTGCTCAGATAAAGTAAATGCAATTATGTGTGACACATTTACATCAGTCATGTGCCTCTCTCCCCAGATGCCACTCAGCATCACATCAGCTGTGTGTAGCAAGCATAGCTGTGATAAGCACATGAGCAAGTATGAATGTGGCCTGTACAAGTAGGAGAGCACTTGCTGATAAAGGGCCTTGATAAAGTGCACTGCGGAGCTTGACAGGTCTGTATTTTGTGCCATGGCTGTACAACTTTTCTCCTGGGAGTGGAATCATCTCTCATGTTAGAAATAGTGACTGCACATGGACGCTTCCATTAGCAATCACACACCCCTTCTCTACTGACTGTCACAGCTGTGCCAACAGAAATCTGTAGGACATACGTGTAGGAAGGTGTCTTGGTCTTGCTGATTAGCAGACCACACAGAATCTGAGAGAAGCTTATGCTTAGCAGTGTTGAAAGATGCCATTGCTGTCACTCTAAATGTTTGTATTTTATATGTACATGATGTGGGTTCCTGTTGGACAGTGCTGCTCAGATAATACTCCCACTGATAGAACTAATTCAGTAGGTTATTCTTTGTTACAGGACTGTACAAGAAATCAGGCAAACTAGTTTTTCTTGGACTGGACAATGCTGGAAAAACTACACTGCTGCACATGCTCAAAGATGACAGGCTGGGACAGCATGTCCCCACACTACACCCCAGTAAGTTAACGTTCCTAGTTCCCTTGCTAGAAAGTACTGCAGGAAACCTGATTATACATTACAAGTAATTGGGGGGAGACAAAGAGTAATGGAATTGAGAAATTCTGAATTACAGAAGCTGTGAGAAATTGAGACTTGAAACATTTGAGGGCAGCTTCTCTGGATATTTGGAAGGTTAGCATTTCCATACACTGTTCTGATTCTCATTGACTCATTGACTCTGATTGTTACCATGGTAGCCTTGCAGGAGGAAAAGTTCAGCAGAGGTTAAAAACATGGGCTGGTGAAGTCTAGGAGAAGGTGAGCAATTAAGCAAGGACACAACAAGGAGTGACCTCTGCCAGTATTGCATGTGAAATTTCATCTATGTGGCAAACCAAATGCCAGAGCTACCTATTGCCTTTGAAATGGGGGAGAGATAAATCACGTGCAGACAGACATTCTCTGCTGTTCTCTTAACACTGTAGATTTCTGACATCTGTTTTAATTACATTTTGTTGTTACATAAATGTTACTGATTTTGAAAGAAATTGTATCTCTCTGCTATATTTCTTGAGAAACAAAATACTGAAAATAACAAGAGAAAGTGAAATCAGTGTCCTGAGTAGTCAGGCTATTACGTATAGTAGAATACTGTGTAGTATGTATATGGTGATATATGATCTTCACAGAGAACGTAATTCTGTGTATTTGTAGCTTCAGAAGAGCTGACAATTGCTGGTATGACTTTCACTACTTTTGATCTGGGTGGACATGCTCAAGGTAAGAGAATATGTTGACTCATTTAACTGCTGTGAATTAGAGTTGTTTACAGTCAGTTTGTCTCAGATCAGAAATACGACCATACTGCAGAGATCAGCTTCCCACACTCTCTTTGGTAGTGTTAAAAACATTCACTGCTCTGTTCCTGTCTCTGCCACATACTGTGCTCCCAAATACAATTTGGCAGGAGCTGCAGTAGATCAGGATTCTTTGACTGATGGTAACTATTTTGAGGAGGATTAGATAGTTTTTGTTTTAGAACATTGAATTTCTTGTGTATACCTTCAACCTCTGTGCTTCAAACTAACCTTTGTTGATGTAATACTTGGGGAAACACAAAAAGGTTCAGTCCATCAGTGTGTGCATGTGAGATAGAGTGGTGATAACAGCAGAGAGAATTATGCATTTGCTCCGTTATCTCAAGCTTTATAAAACATGGGTTTGCATCCTGAAGACTGGCCATGTACACTAAGACTTCAGAAATACGTGTGGCTTCTCCATTCCTGAGTTGCATCGCTCTAAGCTTGGGGATAATTTCCATTGGTTTTATTTCACTTCTTCCCTGTAGCTCGCAGAGTGTGGAAAAACTATCTGCCTGCCATCAATGGCATTGTGTTCTTGGTGGACTGCGCAGATCATGACAGACTGCTTGAATCAAAGGAAGAGCTCGATGTAAGTTTAACTGGGCTGTTGAAAATCTGGATTCTAACCTCTAAGAAATAACCTCCAATTCCCCGTGTTCAAGAGAGCTCTCCTGCCACAATTTCACTTTTAGCATCTTCAGTCCCATCTAGTTGTATTTTGGTTCTGTCACCCTCTTCCTGCTCATTACCGTGTGCACTGTACGTAGGTGAACGTTCTGTTCTGCCAGTGGAATCAGTATTGCTCCATTTATGATGTTTTCTATGTTGTGAATGAGTAATTTAATTTCTTTTATCGCAAGCAGATTGAACAACTCCCATCAGTTATTTTCATTGCACCAAATAACAGTGAATTTTGCTGCCCTTACTTCTTAGAAAGACCGAGTTTCACCACATTGTTATTAACATTTTGTCTTAATATAAAGCCCTAAATCAAACTACATCCTGAAAAAAAAGCTTTAAATCAGGCTATCTCCTAAAATAGTCTCTTTCCCCTTTCTCCTTTCCTTTGCAGTCACTAATGACAGATGAAACTATTGCTAATGTGCCTATCCTAATCCTTGGTAATAAGATTGACAGACCTGAAGCCATCAGTGAAGAGAGGTTACGAGAGATGTTTGGTCTGTATGGCCAGACAACAGGAAAGGTAAAGCTCCTTTTTTTTGTTAGAGATCTCATGTTTACCCTACAGTTCTGTGTTGATTCTGGTTCACTCAGCTACACAAAATAAATGGGTTTTAGTTTGTTATATACTCAGTACTTAATAGGTTTGTGTGAAAGAAATGCTGTGCGTGTTAGAAGCATCCCTACTGCAGCTTCTATTCATCATTTCCAATAACACATTTTGCCAGGGAAAATGTAGTTGTACTAAGCATAGATTTCAGTACTTGAGCTACTTCTGTGCAGTACTTTTATAAGGTGAACATGTTTTCAGAGGCTACAGTTCTAGTAGGAACTGGAAGAGAAAACTTGATAGAGTCCTCCAGTAAGTGATTTTTGTCATTTAAACTGCAGATTTAGTACAATTCATTACTTAGCATATTTAACTGAAATTTAGAAACAGGGTTATACTTCTGCAGAAATCTGAGTTTGTAGGCAGTGGAAAAACATTCCTACTAGCAGATTTATATTGCCCATCTTTGTGGTAATTCAGCTCTCTTTGAAGTAAACACAGTGTACTGCTTGTAATGGAGTTTTGGGTACAAGGAATTAAAAAGAAATTACATAGAAACAAGAATTGCGTGGGTTAGCTTTAGAATAGGTGTAATGGAATATAAACAATTATTATTCATTTCTTTTTATCGTTTTGTTTTGCATCTTGCTCTGTATTTTACAACTCCGCATGCAGTCTGTGAAGTAAGAATCCTGTAGTGAGCCTGCAGTTGAGGAATAGCTTTGTCACACTGTGCTGCTCTTGGCAAGAAAGCAACCTGCACTCTGATTGTGGTCAGCCCTACAGTTTGTAGCAAATGCTCTTTTTATCTGCTTGGAAAGCTGCTAGAAACATTGCAGGGAACCGCCTCTGAAAACTGGAGTCTGAGCTCTCAGATTCTCTATACAGATGCTTGCTTTTGCACTCAGGTGCCACGCACTTCATGCTCTCTGAATGTGGCTGCACATGAAAATATGCTCAGGGACTGTAAGGCTGGCATTGTGTGCAGAAGTTTCAGAGTCACTTTCTTCAAAGATTCTAACATCAACCGTAAGGTAAAGAATGGCATTGTGTAGAAACAAGTGTCAGTGCAGAGCAGCTGTCTCTTTGTAGAGATCCTATAATTTGGAGTGCTTCTGTCTCTTTGCAGGGCAGTATACCATTGAAAGAACTGAATGCAAGGCCACTAGAAGTGTTCATGTGCAGCGTGCTAAAGAGACAAGGCTATGGAGAAGGATTCCGTTGGATGGCACAGTACATTGATTAATGCCAAGATCACATTAGTGCATCCTGTCCCATGTCTGAATATTAAGTCTGCTCCTTATTTGATCACTCGGTGTACACAACTTGGATTCATTTGACTGTTTAGTTATAAAAGCATCCATTTTTACATAATTGTATCTCCTATGCTAAATTGTAAGTGTGAGGATTGAGACATTCTTTCAAGCAAGTTTGTAAGTTGAAGTACCACCACATGTTAGCTTTCTAATCCCATACAGCATTCTTTTGCAACATTTAATTTAACAAGTCTCCAGCACCATTTTTGGACAGAGCAACTTTCCAGTACAGTATGTTTGAATGCACTTTTTAACAGCTAAAAACTGCAAACGTGAGAAATATTTAATGCTTATCATGTTAAATTTTTTTATGTACTTTTTTGAAACTGGTTTTATAACTTTAGAGTATATAACCATCTTTCAAGGAATAATAAATAATTAGCTGATGGATAATTGCATGATGCCTTACAGTTTTCAATAATATACTTTCTTATGCAACGTCATGCAATAAATTTAAATCCAGTTTTTGGCAACTTTAATGGAAAATGTTTCATTTTAATGTGTCTTAACTAGTGAGGCTGTCTGACGATCTGAATATGGGGGATGTTTTCCCGAAGCACAGAAGGCCACAAAGTACTTTCATTGTATATTGGAGAGTAAACTGTTTCCTTCAGACTACCAAATTGCATTTCCTTTAGGATTTTACATTAATGGAACTCTAATCTGATGCCCTTATAACTACCACCTTTAAAAAGTACAGATCATGGAAATCAGTTGTGCCGATGCAGATCTTGAACTAATGTAAAAAGCGGTCTTACTCTGCTGGTACCTTGACTTACACCCCTGAAATGACACAGAAATTACAATCACCATTAGTGCTACACTGAATTGTTCTGTTCTTGGTTTCAGTAGATTTGGATTCTGCCAGAAGATTTGTCTGTGACATTGCCAGAAACAAAACAAATCGCTGCTGTCGCTTGTGAAAATGTGTCAGCCCACCCCTAATTGGACAGTTTTATTTTGGTGTTCTGAGTTGGAACAAGATGGATTGTTTTCTGCAGTTTTGCCCTGAAGCTCGGTCAGAATGGCAGTTGTTGCGTGCCCAGGTGGCTTGTTTCTGGGGTCAAATTCCATTATCTTCAGTGCATGTTTCCAGACTTTTGACTGTTTTTTCCCCACCTCCCAGTGCATTCGCTCCCTGAGCAGGTTATTTTCTAAGAAGGAGAGGTGACGCACGTAAATATATGGACATCTTGTTGACACTGGCTGACATTGCCATGGAACTGTGATTTGTGTTTCTGTGTGCAGCAGATGTAGCTGATGAAGGTAGGGCTTCAGCCCTGGGATCGTTGTTTCGCTGCGGTGGGTTTGGCTTTCACTGTGCAGTGTGTTTCACCTTTGCTCTTCCACTTTTCACAAGGGTGAAAAGTATTGAACTGCTACAGATGTTCTTACAGAATCCCAGGGCTGGGGCTGCTTTTTACTCACTGTTGTCGAACTTCTCTAAAATGCTTTAGGCCCTGTTTCTTCAACATCAGTAGCAGCAAACAAATTTCTGTCTCTCTTGGTTTCGTACATAATTTTCTCTCTTAAACCACTGAGTTTGAATCTCGTATTTTAAGCCTGCAGACTTTAAATGTGAGCCCGTAGTCTCTAAATAGGCACATGGTGAGTAAATAAGGGGTACTCCCCTCCCGGATCAGGGCTTGTGTGATTAAATAATGATGATGGTTTCCCCTCAGTCCAAGGTTGTGCGTCTGAATCAGATGAATAATCCATAACCTAATATAGACGATAGCTGGCACTAGTTACAGCACAATCTTGCAAAATTTTAAGCATACTTTGTGCGTGGTGAAGAACAGAAGTGAGGCTGTGGGGTAGATTGACCAGCATGAGTTGATCCTGCCTTTAAACCAGTGCTTTGCTGCAGAGCAGTGCCTCCGCGTTGCACAAGTCGAACAGTAGATAAGAAATGTCATCTTACAGGTGTGTAGACAACATGCGAGTCTTTGCTCACATGATGGGGAACACAGATTTTTCCCCACCCCACATGTTTTTCTCATAATGGTTATAATGCAACAGTGTAAATATTCAGAACTGCTTCTTGCGGTCACGTAGCTGTGTTGAAGGGGGAGACTTGGGACTGTGCTGCCTGTGTTGATGGAAATGAAGCTGGAAGTGGAGTTGTGCTGCTCTCGTGCTCCTCTCTGAGTGGGGAGTGCCTGCAGACCCCTTCCATAGGCTGAGCCATTCCACGGGTGTTGGAAGAGAGAGGGGACCTCTTCAGCTGCCACTCAACCTACTGTGAATAACATGAGCTGTAAGGAGAGGGCTGATAGTCTGAAGAGCTAAAAAAGACCAGAGGTGATGCTGCTTTAAAAGTGTGTGAAGGGTAATTCTTAGCGTTACAGAAGTACTCAGATTTCATGTTTCATACGGTGAGATGCTAGTTTAAATGTGGTTGTAATAAGGGCATGAAGAAATTTGGACCTTTTGTTTTCTGTCTGGGTATCGTAATGGTTCCCACTGTGGGAACAGCTGAACAACAGTCACCAATAATCTCACTGTTCTTTCTGGAGAGGAAATATTTCCTCTGTAGTTTACATTCTGTTGTGCACATGAATGTGAATGGATGTTGTGTATCTTTGTGTGAAGACTTTATTGATAGAAAAATACACTCGTGAGAGTTCTTCTGGTGGTTTTCATCCCCACCACCCCTCCATCTCCTGTACCTTTATTTCTGGAGGTTGCTTATTGCTGTGACTGTGACCAGTCCTACTAACTTACAAAAGAAGCAACGTTCACATCTGGGTCTGACTTTTGTGAATTACGTTTGCACTCTTGACTATGCAGATTTCAATTAAGCATCACTTTAAAGAACGTGAAAAAGAAAATTCATTGATAACTGTGTTATTTGTGGAGTCTCAAATTTGCTTTTGCACCACAACATTAAAACAAATGAGTGCAGATTTCTAAAATACTAACAACAACTGCAGACAAAACGGCCCATATTTCACTGCAGTGACCCCATATAGGAGCATCTGTGAGTTGAATAACATTTATTTTGCTTGGATTTAATTAGACACTGGTTTTAGTATGCACTGTGCAACCGAGGGCCATTGCTGCATTTCAGTCTTAGTTTAATTCATTTTTGTAGCAACATTTATTGGCATTGGAGGTGGGAAAGATCTGTGACTGTTCTCATTTACCCTCGTCCAGACCAAGACTATTTCATGAAGTGTATTATCTCATGCTGTATTCAGTGTTCAGGTACTGTCTATGATGTGCCAAAGATGACCTATGGCATTCACTGGAATATAATACCTGCATGTACGCGAGCTTTGCCGTGTTTTCATAGTTGGAATTCAGCAGCAAATCGAGCATTTGACATCTGCTTGTTTGTAACTAAACTCAACTCAGAAAAACGATATTGTTGTTCTTCAGTCCCAGTGAATTCACAGGTCTGCTTCAAGTAGAGTTGTTCTCTCTCATTTGTACTGTCAGCGTGTTTGGTTGTCACCAACCAAAGTCCAATATTTCTATCGACTACAACATGCTCAGCCGCAGTGTAAATACTGTAATCATGAGTTATGGACTTCTGAGATGCATTACAAACAGCCTAATCCATTGGCTGTCGGTGGGGACGTGTAACTTATTTGCACTTAGATAAACCACTTTTGCACTAGTATCTCAGCGTGGAACTAAACATTTTCTGTTTTGAAATGTAAGTGCTCTGAATGTTTAAAAGCATAATTTATATAATAAACTGCAGAGGAAGAACTAAAGATGAAAGTGGTCTTAAACATGTCCTTAATGTGGTGTTTCTTATTATTTGTGTTGTCACATCCCAGGCTTAAAATGTAAGTATCAGAAAATAAAGTTCTGTGTTGGGATTTGAAGAAAAGGAGTTCAAAGCAGGTAATTCTTGTCAAATAATTACACTGTCCATGGGCAAGAAGAAGTGTTCTGGCATAGCACACATTCTGGTAGTGACTGGGGGGGGTTTCAGCTGGCTGTAATAGCAGCTCAACCTGTTCTTCATCAGTATTTCTGTTCATGTCTGCATGGAAGCAGATCCTTAATGCAGAAAACATCACCAAAAAAAACCCACCACCAACAAAGAAGCATCATGACATTACCTTTGTTGTGATATTTAAGTGGGATAGAAGGATCCAGTTTTACAAACAGTAACTGTCTTTACAGCCTTGATGCGGTTTTCATTCTAGGATCTCAGGGCTTTTTCATGCAAATGCTGCCTAGCCATCGTCGTGCTGCAGAGGGCTCTTGCCCTTGATTAACCGTGAGGAAAACAAAGTCCAGAAGGAACTTGTCATACCTGGTCACTGCCTGAGTGAAGGGAGCGCACAGAGCCACCAGCAGCAGTCTGAAGTGGAGCAGTGCCTCAGTGAACCTGCCTCAGTGAACCTGCACCCTGCTTGCCCGTGTTCTAGAGAGAAGAGGAAACGTTTGCTGTGCATTTGCTCTCAGCAGTGCAACTGTGCTTGAGCACCCAAACCTGGGAGTCCCCTGGCAGGGGTGTGCTGTGACCGCTGTCAGTCTGGGAAGGGATCAGTCTGACTCTTGCTGTGCTGTGTCCTGGTGGGGAAGCTGAGCTGTTGATGGCATTTGCTCCTTGGCAGCTAATGGCTGGGGACAGCTGTGGGACAGAGGAAGGAAGAAATCATCTGGGTTGAAACGTGGGCCCCTTGTCAGAGAGCAAAAGGGGAGAACAGTGGAGCATCCCAGTGCTGGGGGCATCGCTTTGGGTTTCTGACCAGAGATAAGCATGAGCTGCAGGATGTTGGATGGGATTTGGGGCTCTTGTGACTGCTGGCACTCAGAGCCAGGCTTTGAGCTGAGATGTTTGGTTCCAGCCCAGGGCCTGGACGCCATTTCCTCACTGCTTTCCTGGAGCAGGATCCTGGGTTGGGTTCAACTCCGTGGAGCTGTGGAAGGAAGGCTCCTGGATGTGCCACCACTCGTCTTGCTGTTGAAACTAAGGAATTTAAAGCAAACCTTTTGGAAGCAATGTTACTGAGATGCATTAGTACAAAATTGCAGAGGACATCCAGTGAAAGTGCTCAGTAGGTTCTAAGGGAAAAATCAGAGAAAAGGAATCTGCTGGGGAGAGAGAAATCTTTTCTTTTACTGCGAGTAAACACGTGGAGGGGAAGCTGTGTGGCCACAGCCGGAGAGCAGCTGGAGCTCTGGGTGCTGCTGGGGGCACAGTGCTGGGGCACAGCGGGAGGAGGCAGAGCTGACGGCACCACATAAGATTTTATAGAGCCTGTGCTTTTTTATGGGCATCTGAGATGCTTTTAGAGCTGGCCTAAGGATGACGGGTGTTCCTATGGATCCAGCCCTCCCGTTGGCTGCCTCCCACCCATTGCTCTCCGTGCAGCTCCAGCACACATCCCCGGGAGGAGCGGTGATGCGATGGCTGTGCCTGGAAGTGTGTCTGCACAGAGAGCACGGCTGTGATTTGCACTTCTTTTATTTTACTCCTCCTCTAGTCCTGCCATCTGCTGTTACTACTTCTGTAATGCCATTTTGTTTCCTCATCTCAAACTTGAATTGTCTCCTCAGTTTCAAAAGCAGCATGACTTTTTTTATTTTTTCCCCCAGGCTGCTTTGGGGAGCTTTCATTTCTCAAGAGGTTGATGCTTGAAATCCCAGGTAAGAAATCTGCCAAAGCAGGAATTCTGCTTATGTTCTCCTCGCTGCTGTCAGACAGAACACGAGAGAGAGCCAGGAAAAGATTTATGTTGTGTTTGCTGTTATCCTGGGAGAAGCGAGGGGAAACCAGAAAGCTGCAGTTGTCATGGTTAGCTGAAGTTTGCTGAGGTCCTGCAAGTTTGTTTGAAGGCAGCAAGGAATGTGTAACAGATCCGTATGCATGTGACTGCTGGATGAATTCTATTTATGTCTCTGTAAACACGCAATTATGAAATGAGCTCCACGTGATGATGCTGGTGCCGTCCCTGTGTGACCTGGTCAGCTGTCCCTGGGGTTTGCTTGGGCTTAGCTTGTAGAATGTGGTGCTGCTGGAAGATGTTTGTTGGAAGGTGGTCAAGCAATGGGACGGGAAGCACCAGCATGAATCACAGAACCAGCAGGGCTGGAGAAGACCTCTGGGGTTACCAAATCCAATCCCAACCCATTCCCACTGACCATGTCCCCAAATGCCACATCTCCACGTTCTGGAACAGCTCGAGGATGGTGTCCCCACCACTCCCTGGGCAGCTGTGCCCGTGCCTGACCATTCCCACCATGTTAGCAGATAAGAGAGAAGGCACCATGAAGTGGATAATTTGGATGTTGTCCTCCTTTCCGCTGTAATTCCAGTATGTTTGGTGTGTCTTGGTAGTAAGCAGTTTTCTACCCACTGGAATACTGATTTCAGGAAACTCAGTAGTCCTGGCTATTTCAGCAACAGGTACATGTGCCACCATACAGGTTTCCCTGCTCAAGCAGCAGGCAACCTGTCAGCAAGATGCATTTTCTTCGTGAAGGAAGGCCACAAAAGCAAACATGCCCACAGTGCAGGGCTGGGCTGGCAGGGATGAGCCAGCGTGCAGCGCCTGCAGCCTGGGACATATGGGCTGGCAGCCACTGCCTGCTTGGAGTCTGTGTACCCCTGGGGGGCATGGCAGCTGCTGATGCAAACGGATGAGTCACCTTTAAAACAATGGTTTCTTCGTGCACAATGACTCAGGATAAAAGAAAAACAGGTTTTTCAATAAGCTGAAGCTTGTGATATTGCAAAAAGGAGTAATGCAAGGGGATGTCTTTAACCCTGTGCTGAAAGGCTGACATTTTTCCCTAAAAGTAACAGTGCTGGGGGGAAAAGGTAGGGCTGGTGTGGGTATGTGTGTGGCTGCATCACCTCTGCAGAGCACACAGCCCAACATCTCCCTGTGTCCCAGCACACGTGGATGTGTTACCTTCCATGGGCCAGCAGCACGCAGCGCAGTTTTAGTGCAGAAATTACCAGCATAGCGATTTGAGCACGAATCTGCACACCTGAAAAGGATTTCAATACATCAGAACAGCAAGGTGAAGGGGAGGATAAGAAACGGGCTGTCGACGAAAACGATGCAGCCAGATTAACCAAGCAAACTCCCAGCAAAGGTCCTTCACTGTACTCCATGCGTTTGCATGGGGACAGCAGCTCCCCTCGGCCCCCTGCTTGCAGCGTTGCTCTGTGCAGGAGGAAGCTCAGACCCCGCAGCGCCAATGGGTGCGGGCAGGCCGGGCTGCTCCCGCAGTTCTCCATCCATAGGTGGCAGCAGCCCTTACATCTGTCACCTCACAGCCGCTGGCTTCTTCTGCAATGATTTCCAAACCTTTGGTGCACGATGCTGCCTCAAGAGGAATTCTTTCCGAGGAACGAAGCATCCTTCGAGCTGTTTGCTTGATTTTCTATGAAGACAAATAGCAGAGAGTCAAACTTGATGGTAGCAGGAGAAGAGAATTTTGTTCCAGCACAACTTGCTCGCAGGTAAGAGCGATAGGACAGGAGGTGATGGTCTCACATGGTGCCAAGGAAGGGTCATGCTGGGTGTTAGGGAGCTGCAAAGAGCAGTGATGCATGGACACAGGCTGCCTGGGAGTGGGAAAGTCCCCATTCCTGGAGGTGTTCAGAGCCATGGGAACGTGGCACTTGGGGACGCAGTTATGGTGGAGATGGACTGGAGCTGGGCTTGGGGATCTTGCAGGTCTTTAATGATTCTGTGATGTTGGTCAATAAGTTGCCAAAGAAAAATTATGTTGGTGGCATTGATGAGGAACTCAGTGCTCCATCAGCTGCAGGCAGGATGGGAAGGCCAGCAGGCTGCAGGCCAGGAGAGCACCTGCTGCAGGAGGCAGTGAGTCGCTGGTTGCAGCGCTGGGGACGTAATGGGGAACACTGAACACTGAGGTTGGTTGAGACCAGAGAGCAGCAAGTGTGGGGCAGGATGGGGCTGTGCTCTTTCAGCATCTTCAGTGGTGCCCCTCTTTAGGAGCACAGGGGTGTGATCACTCCAGCTTTGGCTGTATTGCACTTTTTTACCTGCAAAAATGAATCCTTCCTTTAATTGAACCGGATATTCTTCTCTGCTGAAGGTATTCTTCCTTTTGGCTGATGGGATGGCAGTGGTATTCCACCAAGGCAGATGGGTTTTTGTCAGAGTGAAACAATCCTAAGTGAAATCTTTCAAACTGTAATGCAGTGTTTCATCAGGTGTTCAGGCTGATGGGTGGCGTGTTGTGATGGTCGTCACGTTGAGATGGTCATCGTGTTGTGATGGGCAGCATGTTGAGAGGTTGGCACATCTGGCCTCTCCACCTTGGCATTCCCCAGGAGCTGCTCCACACCAGAGATCAGAATGAAGCCCAACTGAGTGTTAATGATGACAAGCTCACGCTGCAGGCAGAATTCCCCCTATTTTGATGCCTCGAAACCCGGCAGGGACGAGAGACTGCTTTTACAGATGAGCAGATCCTCTCAGCTTGTCCTTGACAGCTGCAGATAACAGGAAGATGAGGGCTTAATTACTTTGTAATTAAGCTGATGTTACTATCTTATGTCTGTTCAGTATCTAACACAAAAAGAGCTGCTGATTTTTGGTCATTCATTAGGAGGCAGCAGCGTGGGGGAACACAGATGGGTGGGGATGGAGATGGGGTCCTGCTTCTGGATAGAGGCTGAGGAGAAGCCAAGCTCTGCATGCTGGAAGCTCCTTTCCTCACTGGGAGATTCACAGGGAGCAATTTCCATCTTGGAGACACTACAGAGCAGCAGTTGTTTGCTCCTGCAGCACAGAGCTCAGGCTATCACTGTGCTGTTCCAGCTCCATCTGTGTCCACTGCCATGGCACGTGGAGTGCTGGCAGGTCCTTCCTGAAGCAGTTCAGTCTCTTTGGAAGCCCCCAGTTCCTCCTAGCTTGGGCTGCCTGCACTTCCATCCATGGAAATGGTTGGTTTGGTAATTTGGAGCCATTGCTGCATGTGATGGTGTGGGTGCAGAGCACCCTCCTGGTCGGCTGCAGGGAATTTGGGACAGTCATTAGAGGAGCAGGGTGAAGAACAGTGCTGGGTCAGGGCTGCCAAAGTCTGGGGTTTGCCTTCAGCATTAAATCTAATGGCATCACAGGGTGGAAAGCCAACTCCTGGCAGTGCCATTGCTCCAATTATGTTCATCCCAACATGGGGGCAGTGCACATCCCTGCTGCAGCCCTCCAGCCCCAGCACTGCTGCCTCCACCTGGGGCTTTGTGTCCCCCTGCCAGTTTCGCTCTGACTGTCAGGCAGGGATGAGTCAAAACTCAGAGCAGAACTGAGATGGTAGCACTATGCTGTGCCGTGGAATGGGGACAGTCCTGATCTGTGCCCTTGGGGACCTCATGCTCATTGGATCCCATCCGCACCCCAAAATGGGACCCTCATCTGCAGGACTGCAGCATGGCTGCCATCCCAACATCCCTCCTTTTCGGGGCAGACTTCAGGTGATTGCACTGCAAAACCTCTTCCCGAGGCCAAACTCATGGGAAATGGAGTGATAGCATCACCTGGAGCCAACCTGTAACTTTTTTCCCTGTGACTGCTGGGCTCCTCACATGGGAAACGATCCCTTGTCTTTTTTCTCCGTGTAAAACAATCCCAAATGCTCGGTGTGTGTTTGCCATGTGCGCATCCCATGTGCACGGTGACATTTCTCATCCTTCTGTTAGTACAGATGCTGCAAAGGCAATAACCCTGAAATGTCACAGCTGCAGATTCATGCCACACAGATAAGAAGGGGCAGTTAAATAAGGAATCACTCAATACTTAAATATTACCTAGAAGACAGCAAAATCTGCAGGAATAGAACACAGCGCACAGCACCTGTGTGCTCTGCATTGCTGCTCCACCTGAGAAACACTGAATGCCCCAAGATGGGCAAATGAAGGGAATTTCACTGGCAAGCTTGGGAAAGTGGGCAGGCAACTCATTCCATTCAGCTTTGTACAAAGTTGCACTTAAAATACACACGTGGTCCATTATTTTAATCCCAATTGCAGCTGAAGGTGCAGCAGCATCTCCTGCACCGAACCACGCATGTGATGCTCAGCAGAGTGCTGGGACCCAGGGCAGCCAGACCCTCAGCAATGCAATCAGTCCCCACAGGACTCCACTGCCACTTGCTCTGCTCTCTACATGAATAAAGCCCATGGGTGGGCGATGGGCTTGCTGAGGCTGCATTAAAACCACCCTCATTCCACTTGTGAGTATTCTGGCTTTTGCCTTAGGAATGGGGAAGGCGGTTGGAGCGCCTGGGTGGGTGAGACATCAGCAGCCCCTGGGGGTGCTTTGGGACAGCAGATCACAGCCAGATCCTTGGGCTGACGTTGGATGTTTCCCTCGTTTTGTGGTAAGTTGGAAGTTTGTTTTTTTTTTGTTTTTTGGTTTTTTTTTTTAGAGCTTTTTATTATTCATCTGTTGCAATCATGGCAAACGCATCATTTCACAGCCCTACATGGAAATCCAAAGCCAGGGAACTATTTTTAGAGCACTAAATGCCTCCCCTCGACGTATTCACTGTGGAAGAATAAATACCAAAGGCGCTCTTGTCACATCTGAGGTGGTTACATAGCAGCACAGCAGTGGCTGTAATGGGGAAAGAAAGCAACGTTGTGCCACCAGCACTTCATTAAACACAATGAAGAAGATCCTACTGCGATCCTTCCAGGGGAAGCTGAGGGGAAATTCATTCACTTCCACATCCATCGCTGCGGATTTACGGGGACATCTCCATCCCACTGGTGTTTCAGAGAACAGAAGCGTTTGGGTAGGAAAGAGCTCTCAGATCCCCCATCCAACCCCATCCCTCCACCGTAGCCACGTCCCCACGTGCCACGTCTCCATGGCTTGGGAGCACCTCCGATGCCCAGCGATGGAAATTCAGTGCAAACCCTTTGGGCAGAGATACCCACACCACTCAGTGGCACAGAGCACGCCGATATGCACGCACACGTAAAACACTGCTTTATTGACTGCATTTGCCAACACATTGAGGAATGCAAAGGTTTCGTTTTGTTGTTTCGGTTTTGTTTTTCTCTCATAAGCCATGGGCCATGGTCCCAATGTGTATTAAAGCATACACTGTACCTAAACAGGATGAAAATAATGGCAGACAGAGCTATTCCAAGGCAACACAAAGAGCATGCATAATACAGTCTCACACAGAACGAGTCTGATAACATTATATTGCTTTAAGGATTAACTAACATGGAAAATGTACAAAAAGGAGAAATAGGTTTTTGCATTAATGAAAAATACATTTTTTTTTTCTCTACAAAGGAATTTCTAATACAAGAAAATAAATATTGCAACATAAGCCAAAAATAATTTAAAATTGCTCTTTTCAATATATTTTCAATATTTCTCTTTTCTATTAACAAATGGCACATCACGTTCTTTGAAACAAAGAAAACAGAAGGGTTTCCTCCTCCTGCGACATTCATATCGTTTCCTGTGACTGACGTGGGGTGGGTCTGGGCTGTGTGCGGGTGGAGCAAACGGGGCGACCCGGAGGAACCAACAGCCCCAGGCACGGCCAGAGGGGCGAAGGATGGATGGGTTTGGGTTTGGGGAGCGGGGCTGTGAGCGGGGCTGAGCCAGCGCTGTGCTGGTGCCGGGGCTGCTGGATGGGGCCGCCCCGCTGCCGAGGCGACGGGCGCTCTTACAGTGCAAACTGCGGTTTATACATCTGAAAAGACAATATTTTTCTCTAGCAAAATAAACCCCTTAGATTCTCTTTCGTCTCAAAATACATTTTACAGCATCATCAAAAACAAAATACGGCCCTTTGTGCATCGCTCTCATCACGCAGCCCCCCCGCTCCTCCCGACCCAGTGCCGAACCGCGCGGCTGGGGCTGTTCCGCAGGGTCCCCCGTTTGCTTTCCTGTACTGAGAAGACGAGGAGTGCAGAAGCCGATGAGTGGAGCTGTGTACAGTGAAAAGTTGTGGATTGCTTTTGTTTAACCATAACTGAGTGAAGCACACGGAAGCAAGATTCATTAAAAGGCAGCATATTGATTATTGGTATGACTCTTATACTAGGATACTGTAGCTAAAGCTAGCAAGCCTGATAAGATAAACTAAGTCCTATTTACTGTATTTAACATTATCTGAACATACCGAGCCTTAATTAATGAGCAGATTTTCACCTCCAACCTCGGTGGATGAATTGCTATGGGAGGTGGTTCCCGTTTGGCCGATCCGTGGTTCTGCTCCCCGCGGTGCAGCCGTGCTCTGGGTGCTCCATCCCAGCTCGGGGGGCACCCGGGGCTGCGTGCTGCCTGGGGTCAGCCGGGCTGCAATCTGACCGCTAGTAAGGACTCTCTGAAGGCTGATAAAGCTCATCTACTCTAAAACACCGGGACAGTCGGTTAAAGGAGTCTCAGAGTATCAGAAGAAAGCTCACAGTGAAATGAGCAAAAAGCACTGGAAATCAAAACGGAGGGGCGTGGGCTCAGCACCCCTTCAGCAAGCTTGGAACCTAACGCCGCAGCAGTGTGCATGAGTGTGTCTTTAGTCCTTGGTTGCTAAATAACTCCCAATTGTTCCTAGTGACAAGTTTCCAGTTTCTGGCTGTGCTGCTCGACTGTCAACGTATTCTTTGGCATCCACAAAAAAGATTTGACTGTTCTGTTGGACAACTGTAGTAAGGTTTTCTGTTTGAAGTGATGGGTTTAACCAGTTGCAGAAGTGTCCCAGGTTAGTTAGTTTCTTTTTTTTTTTTTTTTTTTTCTTTTTTAAACATTTTTTATTATTATTTTTAAAAAACAACAACAACAAAAGTTTCAGTGAATTCCTTTTTTTTTTTTTTTGTTCCCTGAGCTCACACTGGGGTCACTCCAATAAAACACGTAGCGCGACTTCACTGTGACCTTTGAAGCCAAAACTGAAGTAATGGTGCAATTAAGTGCAAACACGGAAATTCGCCTGACTCGTCGGTAACATGGGCTTTGAACAACATTTAAGGCTTATTGGGGACATTTTATGCATTAAATTATTGTCATATTTATAATGTCAGCTTCTGTGAATCACCCTCCCACAAGGAATCAACAGCTCGTAACCAGGATTTAAGGAATAAAACAAAAAAACAAAAAAAAAAAACCAGGATAAAGGACAGGGAGGAATAAATTCACCATTTCCACTGTAGCGTTTCGTTGGAAAATCAGAGGGCTGAGCGTGCTCCTTCCCCCTGGCTGCAGTGCCTGGGGCTGAGCACGCTGCTGTGCAGGGGAGGCTCGGGTGGGTGCAGGCTGCCCAGTCCCCCCAGTGCTCCTAAAAGATTTTTCCCTCTCTGTCCTTCCCCACGCCTCCATTCCAGCTTGCTGAGCGCTAACCCATGAACCCGAGCAAACTGCTTCTGGGGGCCGCGGCCGAGGTGCCGCCTCGGGGACAGGAACAACCTGGGATGGTTTCCAATCAGAAGGGAAAAAAAGCAATGACTGAGGTTTTTCTACAAACACAAACGTAACGTGGCTCTCTCCCGCCCCGAGCGCTTCCCCCCCACCAAACTCGTTGTGCTTTTGTCGTTATTTATGTTAGCATCGTGTACTTCCCTCCCTTGTCAATGCACGTGCCCATGGCTGGCTTCCCTGCTCAGCTCCCGGCCCCTGCCTTTACCCCGATACAGCCCAAGGAGGGAGATCTGCCCCTCTGGAATAATGCCCATCGCGTGGCCACCTCCGCAGGGAGCGGGGCAGCCGGAGGGGACAACTACTGTCACGGCAATCTACGTCGGTGATGCTGAAGCTGTATCTCAGGCAAAAAGAGAAGAGAAAGACAACGGTGCCGAATTTCCAACTATATATACAGATTAAAAATCCCCCTCTCGCTGTGATACTAGGCAGAAATTGGCCATGGCAGTTGTGACGGGAGGAGCGGGGTGGCCGCGTGCCGTTAGGAAGCCAGGATGCTCATCCGTACGATCTCCTCGCCGCCCGGCTCCAGCTGGCCCCGCTGCGCCCGGCCGCCCCGCGGCTCCCCATCCGAGTCGCTCATCTCGGCGTCGGAGAAGTAGCCGTCCGTCTCGGCCTCGAAGCGGTGCAGGGGGGGCCCTCCTGGGCCATCGGTCTTGGGGGGCTGCGAGCGCCGAGTCCCTCGGCTCTCCTTTGGTAATTTGAACCGCACGACGGTTTTCGGGCTACCTACGGGGTCAGGCACTTGAGCCGTGGGGTTGGGCTCGGGCCGAGCGCCGTTGGCCGCCACCACCGCCTCCTCCTCTCCGGCGCAGCCCCTCGGGGCCGGCGGGTCGCTGCCTTTGGGGCCGGGCCCCTTCCTCGCTGCCCTTTTTGCCTCTCCTGATCCCCTGCGGTCCGCGGGCCTCGCTGCCCCTTTCTCCGACCTGCCGGGCCGCGATTCCTGGGCGCAGGGCTTGGCAGCATCGTCTGACAGGTCGCTGGTGTGGTTAGTCCACCGCTCCGAGCCCTCCTGCTGGCTCCTGAAGACGGCGGTCAGGCCGCTCCTGGGCAGCTTTTTCTTAGTGTTCGTTCTCGTTTTGCTTTTCACCTTCTTGGCGGCCTCGCTCTGTTTGAAGGGGGACCTCAGGGAGTGGTCCATCATGAAGCTGAGCAGCGTCTCCTCGTCCTGGAGCAGCTCCTCGGACAGGCCGGGCGTGCTGTCCTCGTGGTGCGCGTTGTTCAGGGACCACTCGCTCATGGCCATGTTCTCAGCCGTGATCTGCACCGACTGCGCCAGCCAGCTGTTGAAGAAGGTCCCGTCGATGGGGAAGGAAGTCGACAAGCCTGGGAAAACAAAGGTGGAGAACTGGCTCAGGAACCAGAAGCAGCTCTTCCCTTTGAATAAGAACACACAGCGCTCAGCAAAACTCCCTGATGCTGGATAAACTCAAAATGACTCAGCGTGCCTCGTGAGGAACCAGGAGGGGGCTTGCTGCTGTGTTAATTTGACCCTAGGGTCACACCACATACAGATCTGAGCAGAGCATCTTCCTGCAGCACTGAAAAGCAGCCTGGACCCGCGGTGCAGTGCAAGGGCAGCAGGACAAGGAGGGATCAGCATCCCCTCCCAGGAGCTGCTGCACAGTCCTGCCCAGGGGTGCATCCTGTCTGACCTCCACTGCTGCCCCACTGCCCACAGCACTGCGCTAACCCAGTTCCCAGCACACTCCTGAACAGGCAGTGAACCCTAACGCAGCACGGCTTGGGTGAGATGGGAGGAGGGTCTGGGAGCTCTCACCGAGCACTTGGAAGCATGAGAATCAAAGAGCGGCAGCAGAGATGACAGGCTGGAATGGAAAAAGCTGAAAAGCATCCTAATAATTCTGTCTGAGAGCAAGAGTGAGCATGATGGGCTGGGACGTGCCAAATCAGCAGACTGAGAAGCAATGCCAAAGGCACCCAGGCACAACCAGCTTCAATCCCTGCAACAGAAACCCATTGGTCTGACATCACAGCTTCCTTCAGGGCTGGGGGAAAGATGAGATCTGATTTTTGCTGTGAGTGCTTGCCTGTCAAAGTAGCAATGCAGAGATGGAGCAGTGGTGCTCTGACTCACAGCACAGTGAACACATCCCCCCAGATGATGCATGACTGCATGGGTAAGCACCCCAGGAGTTAACTACTGCTATGAAGCTGCAGCGAGCCCAGCCTAGGAACTGTCACCCCAAGGAAGTTCCCCTATGGTCCTTCTACAGAACAATCCTGATATTCTACAGAACAACCCCCATCAGCTCAGGGACGATGAGCTCAAGGCACCCCAAGGTTCCTCCCCCATCACGGCAGCCCCAAGCGATGCCTCAAGCAATTTGTAAAATCCAGCACACTGCAAGACCCTGGTGAAGCTCTGCAAGACCTCATTCCTCTTCTCTGCTGCCTGGTTTTCCAGACTGACTGAAAGGCAGTTTCTTTCCACAACCCTGTAGGCCCCCATTCAATATGACAGCTTGCCCCAGAAAACTCCCCCTGCTCTGCTGGTGGGGATGCAGCTGATGGAGCAGAGCAGGAGGTGGGAGAAGCATCTGCTGGAATGGCAATGATGGTGCTGGAGGTTCATGCAAGCAAAATGGCACAGAAGATGTACAGGATCTGCCCTGCTTTGAAGTGGGTAAGTCTGATTTTATCACTGAGTGCAATTGCAGCTATTCTTGCACACTGTGCAACCCCGAGGCTGTTTTACAGCCTGGACCCAGCAGGGTGAGGTCTCTGCTGCAGCGCTGTGGCCGTGGCATGCTGGGGCTGATCCCACATGGGATGGGCTGGGGGCTGCACCGCGCTCCTCAACACTGCTCTCCAAAAGCAGGAGCCTCTGGAGAGCCACCAGCCCACGAGAAGCTCTGTGCCCATAAAATCAGACTTACCCAGTTGTCCCAACACAGTTTCGTTGACTGATTTCCTTTTTTCTTTCTTCTCAGGGCTATTTTTTCTACCATCTCTTCCTTTCCTTCTCGGATCACTTTTCTTACCCTTTGTCTTCTTCCCAGTTTGTTCTGGCATTTTTTAAAGAAAAAGGAAAACTGCGTGTGAGACGAGGCACCAGGATGAGCCAGCTCCACAGGGCACACACTGTAGGGACGAAGGCTGTGCTACTTCTTAGCCAAAAGTAGGCTCACATCTCTATAGGTTAAGGAAACGTGAATCCTGTAGGCTACATAAAAGAGGTTTGGGCTGTGGCTGTGAGCTTGGCATGGCCGCAGAAGCGGTGCCACTGAAGGCAGCAGGCTCACTAGAAATTTTGCAGCCACCAGGGCACCCTTCTGGAATGGATTTGGGGGCTGTAGGGAGAAACAAGAGGGACACCCCCAAACTTTGCTCTGAAACCTTCCAGAAGATGAGAAACATTTGCTCTGGAAGATTCACAGAGATCAGGAACAAGCCCAAACCTCACTATGAAACTCACCAGGAGATGAGAAATAACCCCAAACTCCATTCAGAAACCATCCAGGAGAGCAGGAATGCACACAAACTGTTCTGAAGCCCTCCAGGAGACCAGGCACCCTCTGAACCTGCTGGGCACATCATGGAAACTGCCTGTGCATGGCCCAGGCTAGCTGTGGACACAGCTGCAGGACAGACTGAGCTGCAAAGCATGTAGCATTGGCAGCATTTTATAGCAAACCTTGGTGTGATTTTACCTTTCAGCTGTGGTAACTGTTTACACTCATACCAGGCAGTGGTGGAAAAAAACAAAGCTATAAAACCAGTGTATTGAACACAGCTAAACGGAGGAGGAAAGATGAGCAACACAGCCTATGGAAAGCCAGGAATGTAACTGCAAGCTATGCAGCCGTTCAGCTAAAAATCAATGTTTCCTAAATGGTTTTGAATTTCTACTGGATTTATTCCTCTTGGGTAAACAGGACAAATACATACCCTATAAAAGTACAACTTGTATTGCCAAGCGCAATACTCCAAAGGTTTTTAGTTACTCTCTCAGGCCCAGAGAATTCTGTGCTAAAACATCCATATTGACTTTTGAAGGGGGAAGGACACTGCTCTTACACCAGCGTTTGGGCAGCTGATGGAGGTGAGCCATGCAGGTTGTCAGCCTGGCCAACAGCTCAGACCTGCACAAGCCAAGCAGCTACCAAAGCAACGATGTTAAGAACCGGACACTGCTCCTGATGCAAGTGCATCAATTTGCTGTGATGGGGGCATCACAGAGAACAGCCCCTCTCCTTCCAGCTGGGCTGGAAATGCATGGGGCAAGCAGAGGAGGGCATCTGCACAGCACCTGCATGCACAGGGGATTTACACTCCCAGGGTTGCCAGAACCCCTCACAAGCACAGCGCTCACCACAAGAAAGAAAAGCAAAAGCAAAATGGGTATTCGCTGCATTCCTGCCAAATAACAAGAGGAACAGACACATTTTTCACTTTGCTTGCAAAATGAAAACATATCTTTGTTTGGACAGCACAATGGATCTAAAGAAAAACGTGAACATTACTTTTTGAAGAGGGACCTGTCAAAATAGCAACCATGTTTCAAAGCCAGACAGCGTTTTCTGTCTGCTTCATGCAATAAAAATAAGGGAGAGAGAGATGGGTTCATCTTACATGGGCAGTTCTCACTGATTTTATTAAAAATCTCCTGCTGAAATCATCATTTATCAGTGAGAAAAAATAAACCCCTCAAGAATGGCGCTTCATATGGGAGCCATTCCAAAAGCAACCTGAGCTAAAACCATCTCTGGGATAAGCCCAAAAGACTTTGGTTATAGCTACAATGAAAGCAGTTAAAAACCAGCTTTGTCCGGGCAAAACAATGCAGATTTTCTTCCTTTTCTGAGAAACTGCAGGCATGCAGAGCAATCCAGTCAGGAGCAGCACAGAGGGATTGCTACAGGGACCATTCTCCATTGACTGCAACTCACTCAGCCACCAAACCACTCTCCAGTCACTAACGATGCAGAACGCAGCAGCATGGTATCCATGGGTTTGGTGCTGTGAGCTGCTGAGGATCTTGAGCTCTAAGTCACCTGAAGTGAGGAGGCCCAGCAAAACGTGGGTGCTGAGAGCATTGTGCAGGATGAGGGTGGCAGAGGTGGGATGTGGACACTGAGGATGGGAGCAGTGTGTAGGGTTGGAGGAAGGATGGCCTGAGGGGTGGGATGTGCTACCCCACAGTGGGGAGCTGTGCTGCCAACAGAAAATAAAACATCAAAATGCCCTTTGACCCATGGAAAGGGAGGCGCCAGGGAGGCACGCAGCAGGTGAACAGCAGCTTGGCTCAGCAGCATAAAGCTCACGGGTAAATGCAAAGTGTTTGGGGCTACATGAGAATACCACTTCCATCGAAACGCAATTACAAAGCCTGCATCTGCTGTAAGAATCACCCCATAACTACAGTCCTCAGGGCAGGCTAAACACTCACAGGTATTCCAGTTCCCCCCACTGCACCCCTAACCCCACTGGGAGCTCTCACCCCATGCTCTGGTGCTCCAGCTCCATTCAGTGCCGTGCTGGAAGGCAAATTCCCACCCTGTCAAAAGCCTTCCTGGAAAAGGATCCAGCTGAAGAACTGGGTTCAGCCACCTTCCCCAAACAGCCAACGTGACAGCAGGCTGTGCTCCTGAAGCAGCCCTTCCAGTGAAACCTGTTAACCAGGAGAGCAGCAACCTGCCCCTGCCATCAGCCCACATCCTCATTGCACACCCTGGGCCCTGTGCTGCCCAGCTCTGGCCACGCAGGGCAATCTGCAGAGGATCCAAGCCCCACACGTCTCAACACGCACACGTCTTGGCCTCCAAAACTTCAGTCAAAGGAAACTTTTGTAAAGGAAAGCTCAGCCCAGACAGTTCCTGAAGAAACCCCAAACATGTGATGGCTTCAAATGCAACTCCAAAGCCACAAACACAACAAGAGTCGGATGCGTTTGCCAAAGCTCCAGATGCTGCTTCTGGAAAAACTGTTCTGCAGCCACAGAGCCTGGTCCTGTGCTGCCACTGAAAAAAGGAGGAGGGATGCAGGGCTGTGGGTTTGGGCACAAAAGGGGAAAAAAAGAAAAGAAAAAAAAAAAGACAGAAGGAAAGCAACTTTATTTCAGTATTTCTTAATGAAGAGGTGCCAGAGGCTTTGCAGGAAGTACGTGTGTCATTCCCACTAACCAGAATGAGGAGCAGGAAAAACTACAGGCCGCAGAGCTGAAGGAGGTAAAAGCCATCCCATCCACAGCTCAACTTCTGACACAACCAGAGGAAACCAAACAGACCCCAGAGCTGTTTCATAGAGCCAGGCAGTGCTGAGGAGCAGCTCCGTGCTTTCAAAACAAGGAACAGAACCAAGTGTTCCTGCAGCAGCACCTTCATGTGAACCCTGGGATTCTGTTTTTTAGCACCAGCACCTAACAGCATTCATCTGAGCGAGGGTTGGGAGGGATGTGTGACAGCAAGGACTGCTGGCACCTCAGTCACCCACGGTAAGGCATTATTGCATGCTTGAGAACAACGCTCTAAGTGTTTGATGAATCAGCATAGGAGCTGCGCTGGAAGCACCCAGCAGGGCAGGGGTGGTTCTGCCTTTCTCTGCTGGGGGACTGAGGTTCAGAGGAGGGCACTGAACAGGTCCTGCAAGCAGTACTGACCTGGGTAAAGATCTTTCTCAATGAGAATCATCTGCAGGTGGAAGATCTGCTCCTGGAGTTTACAAATGGTGTGTTTCATTTTCTCCCGTCTCGTCACCATGTAACAGAGATTTCTAACCTACAGAAACACAAGAAACAGCATCTGGTTTAGCAGGGCTGGAAATGAGTCCCCAAGATGCATCACTGTTCTGCTGCCTGGGGACAGCTCTGTGCCCGGCGTCCATGCCCTTGTCCCAGCCTCCCCCGGGTTGTACACAAACACCCATGTTAGTCTGTAACCTCTCCTTCACAGGCTGAGCTCACAAGCAGGATTCACACTCCTGCACCCATGCTTTCTAACACAACTCTTAGGCAGGAAAACAAGGCCAGGGCACCGGCCCTGAGCAGTCAGGATTAACCTGCAGTGCGTTGTTCAACCTGCGCTGCTGCTGAACGTCAGTGCATAAAGTGAGCAATACTCACCAAAAGGGAATAGAGCCAAGAGATCCCCAGGTACCTTACCAGAAATCACGCAGCAACAGTGTGGATGCATAAACTGTTGTAATCTCCCATCAATTGCTCACAGGCCTAATGATACAGTTCATGTTTCTAAAGGATTCCATGTCTCAGAGGTTGGGATGCTGCAGGAGCAGCACCGTAATGCAGTTGGGGTCTAGGGCATCTCCTCCTATCATGGGCTCCCTCACACCAGGACTTGCACCAGAAGTTGTGGGGCTATTGGAGAATATTGGGCTATTGAATTCATTATCCATGAATTCTTCTTTTGCATCCAGCATGGAGGTTGGCAAGGAGGGCAGAGCCAGGCCCAGCAGTGTGGGGCAGCAGCATAGCTGTGCTGCCTGCATGAGCCATGCAGAACTGCCCACTGCCCTACTGCAGGTGCTGATCATGTACAAATGCAGCAGAACACCCAGCTGACATCAGACTGTGCCAGTAACCACATGCAGGTTGGCTGTCCTGACCCACAGCTGGCCAGCACCTTCCCCTCCACACACTGATTTACGTTTGCCCCACAGGTACCTACAGTCTCACTTTGTTTTGTACTACAGCTCATGACATTTTACCAACTGAGAGGGAAGCTCTAAGTGCAAACAACCAAGCAAAGGAGATAAGCTTTTCCCTAGCAAAGTGCGCTTAATGCTCCCTTCTCCAGCCCCAGCCCCCCCAGGACAAACCCCTACCAGCACATCCATCGGGGGCAGGATGCATCCCCCACTGCTTGCAGCTCTCATGCAAACCAGTGGCATCAGTTGTTCCTCATGGGCGTGCAGCTGCAGGCAGCTCCAGTGCCAACTCAGTGCCACAGCTCAGTGCCACTGTGTGCAGCATAACTGGGGGCAGCTCAGCTCTGTTACCAGGGCTGCAGCCATGCAGTGCTCCCCCAGGATGCATGGATGCTTTCAGTGGGGTTAGCTGAGCTATGAACCCACACGTGGATACAGCAAGTAGCCTGGGGCCTCACTGCTGCCTGGGGACAGTTTGGGAGCACTCAGGTGTACAGGAGAGAAAAGTTCTTTCTTTTTTCTTTTCTTCCCCCCGCTCCCCCATCTCCTGGCTGTAAATATACAGCACATAGCTTGCTTTTTCATATTTTACTACATTCTCTTTTTTTGTTCTGGATGGAAGAAAACATCAAACTGAAATTTCTTTATGAGGAAAACAACTGCCTCTGGCAAGCAGTATATCAAAGTGTTTGGCAATATCTCCTCTCTGCAATTTTATACTGCTGGAAGAAAGCATCACTTGCACTCTGCTTAGAGACTGCTGGTATTTACACACACTTAGACAGTAAAACACCACCCGCACTGCTTCCCCCAGCCAAGCTGAGATGCTGGGAAGAAAGCCTGGGAACCATACAGCTTTTTGTACAGCTCATTTAAACAGCCAGCTCTTGGTAAAGGCTTTAAAGCAAAAAGAGCCAAGAAGAAAAGGAGGAAAAGTGGGGAGGACCACATCAGGATACCCAGGAAATGGGACTGGCACATTTGCAGATCTCAACCCTGGGTTCACTTCTAAATATTGCCTGGAAAGCTGCTGAGGGCTGCCATCATCCCAAATCCACCCTGGCCAGGTGAGAGCCTCCTGGGACAGCTCAGCACAGTGCTCTTTACAGGGATGCACCACCACGTCCCTCCAGCAACAACAGCCCTGACGGAGCACAAGGGTTTGCCATTACAGGAAAAGCCACACTCACCCTCTCCAGGTCTTGCCTGAGGTGTGTGAAAAGCTTCAAGCGCCGGTAGAGAACATCCTGCTCCTGCTGAGCCAAGTTGTCCACTTCATCCGTTTTTGGTGTCAGCAGCGGTTTGTTGGAGTTTGCTTTCCTCTTCAGCTTCCAGTACTGATAGACAAAATCCACCAGCGACTCGCTTAAATCAAGGTTCTCTGCCACCTCGGAAGGCTTCACGAGTTCATAGAAGTCCTCCTCCAGCTGCTGGAGCTTTTGCTTCCGCAGCGTCACCTTCTCCAGGTCCAGCTGGGCTTGATCAGGCTCTGTCCGCGTCTCCTCAGGTAGTTTGGTGGCACCGGTGCTGTGCTCCAGGCAGAAGGACTTGAACTTCACTTCATCGTTGTCTGCTAAAATAGTCCGCATGTCGAGGTTGTGGTCAAAGGCGCAGGTGACGTGGAATGCGGTGACGCAGGCGGGCATGGAGCACTGTGGGGAGAAGGACAGGGCTGGTGGTGAGGGCACAGCGGGACCACAAGACACAGCTTCACTAAAGGAGTGATGCCCTCAGGAGGACAGCACCGCCCCCAAGCCATGGATGCTCAGTAACACGCACTGCTCAGGCTACATTGCCTGAGTCCTACACACCAGTGAGGGTGGGCACCAAAATCCCCATCAGAAGGAACCCAGGGCTCACCAGGCACCTCCTCACCTAACCTGCTTGTGTTCTCTGTGACAAGCCCTGATGCCTTTCACCTACCACAAATACAAGACTCTGACAGTTCTTCCGGCAACACACCAACAACACACGGCCAGTGGGATGCCCAGAGATTGAAAGCTGATTTATCCTGAGAAATTTCCATCTTTATTTCATCCCGTTCCCTACCCTACTCCATTCCTATGCCATTGTTAATGACAGCCTACAGGTGTTAAGGTTTGGGAGTGAACGGAGTACGTAAGCAGCAGCCAATGCTCCAGGTTACGATCCCTTACTCTTCTGGAAGCTATACAGACTTTAATTCGCTCCATTTAAAAAAAAAATAGGAAAAAAAAATGAAATTTGCCATATACAGAGCAAATATGCTCTATATATTCACAAAATAAGGTTTGAGAATTGGTTCAGTGACTAGACTTACCAGATGTGCACCAGATGAAAGCTTTAACCATTTCCCTAACTTACCTTACACTTCCGTTACTTGAATCTCACAGACAGCAAAACAGATGAACCCCAAACCTGGTTTCCTACAGACAAAAAGCAACCCACCACCAGAACATCACCAATTTCCACATCAGCACATTCTCCCCCTCTGTTCATTAACTGTTTTTTAATGGCTCAGAATGTCAGGTAATTGCTTCAACCATAACCCGTAAGAAATCAGTCTCCTCCAGCTGCTAATGACCATTTAAACTGCAATAATGAGGCATTTTAAGTGAACTATTACTGTAGCACAGCATTTCAGCATTATGCAGGGACTGCTCTGGCAGGGCAGCGGGGTGCAGCAGCAGCCTGGCCACGAACCTCCCTGCACACGGAACACAAACCACCAGGATGCTGTAGGGTTCCACCAGGGCTCTGCTGTGCTGCACTTTCATGCTCAAAATGAACAGAAAAGAAATGTTGCTAGTATCTAAGGACCAGAAGTTGGATTGCCAAGCATTAGTATGCCCCAGGGGTGGATGCTGGGCAGTGATATGCAGTCTCCCAGCAGTGATATGTTGCTGGTGGAGCAGGTGGTGGCACATGGCTGCCACCAGGGCTGGGACTTGGCATCCACCTACTTGCCACATCCATCCATACTCACATCTCCAGGTGCTGACACGGAATACAAACAGCTCAACTCACTCTATTCAAATACATCCTCTTATTCCTAATTTCAGCCCGGAACTGCTTGTGAAGGTGGCTGCCAGCTTTTGGAGGAGTTAATATATCATGTGCTGGCTTTTAAAGTGCACACGCTCGCTCCTGCAGTCACGGAGAGAGATTTACTACAAGGAGGAGACGCAATGTCATTTGATGGAGTCCCTCTTCCTCACTTTAATGGCACATTAAGGTTGGAAGCCTTTGCCAGCTGTAAGTTCCTTTGATTGAGTTTTCTTGTCTGGTAGCCAAGATGGTAATCTTACTGCACAGAGATATATAGCCACGGACATACTGTTGTGTCTATTTTGGTGTAACAGCTGGGGGTGCTTCAAATTAAATCATCGGGAAGATCCTTTTGTGTTGCAGTGCACATAAATACCTACAGAGACAGGGACACAGCAGCCTGTGCTGGGGACAACCCACAGCAGCGTGATGGCATTGTCAGCACATCCAGGGCTCACTGGGACGGCACCAGCAGCAGGGGCGATCACACCTCAGGAATAAAGCAAAGTGAATGACGTACACCCTGGATTCCTCTTCCAGCAGATGGCAAGCAGCAGTTGTCAGAAACTGCGCCCAAAACGCAAACAAAACAATGAGGCTGCTCCAATGACAGGGCAACAAAGGATCATACCCAGCCAGAGCTCTCAGTGACCTTGTCTGAGCCAGAAGTAGGCACACATCGATCCATCCCAGCCCTGGTGAGCACAGTGGTGCCGGGACGGACTCATCTGTGTGGAACAGCCTGGGCGTACAAAGTGTGCTCCCTGACCCGCTCTGCATCCAATCCTGCTCCTTGTCCCACAGTTCCTTTAGCTCCAGGATTTCAGAACATCTGCTGCACCAGGTAGAAGCAAATCCATTCCCAAACAAAATTCTGAGATGGTGAAGGCTGCCCCAGAGATCGATGCGGGCTGTTAATTAGTCCTCAAACAAATCTTGGTGGGAAGAAGTAGAGGGATGACTTTATCTGCCCATGAAATTCAAATACTGCTAACCATGAAACCCAGCAGATGTTTAACAGCTTACAGCGGTGCTGTGCTGCAGTTCTGGGGCAGAAGTGGAAGGAAGTGGCTACTCCAACAGAACTGCAAGGGAAATTTAGGAAGGAAAAACCAATTACCAGTGCTGAACCCCAGCCAAGCCATCAGATATGACACTTCTGCATCCTCACAAAGAAATGCCATATGATTTTTAGTGACCACAGATGGGTTGGTTCCTGGTGGCACTTTTCAGACAGAACATGCAATTTCAGCCCCGCTGTGTCCTTGGAGGATGACAGGGCCCCACTTCACGCTAGGGCTCAGGATGTTGGTGAGCACCCACACCACTCTTCCCCCGCTCACAATTCTCAAGTTTTTGCATGATATCAGCAAAAGATGATGTCCATTGCAGAAGACTGCCACCAGCTAACAGAGATGCATCTCTTCGGGCTGTCCTGAAAAGCAAGTTCTTTTAGAGGAGACAGTTGCTGTTTCCAGCAAGGAGGGCACTGGGTTTCTCTGTCCACAAGTGTGCGAGGACGTGGGCTGCACACATCCTGGCTCCTGGCACTCTCTCTTGTAGTTCAGCAATGCAAACAAGAAAATTCCTGCTGGATACTGAGTGCTCCTTGGCACATCCTGATGTCTGACCACAAGAACCACCACATAAAGTCATGACTTCCCCTTAAGAGAGGATGGGAAAAGTGTGTTTTCAGGGCTGTATTATTATATCCAGCACAAAGGAGCACTGGATCAACTACAGCAGGTTTACAGCTTTCTACCAGAAAAACAAGAGAAGTAATGATGTGCAAGCAGCAACATCAGAGGCACAGAGAGTTGGAGAGGGCACAGAGAGTTGGAGAGGGCACAGAGAGTTGGAGAGGGCACAGAGAGTTGGAGAGGGCACAGAGAGTTGGAGAGGGCACAGAGAGTTGGAGAGGGCACAGAGAGTTGGAGAGGGCAGAAGGTATGCTTCCCTTTTGGCGGTCAAATCTAGATGGGAAGAAATACCTCAACACACAGAGATGCCTCACATTGGTCTCTGACAACAGTGGAGGTTCCTGAAGCTGCAGTTCTGTCTGTAGGCACCCACATGCCTGTTGGGGATGACAGGCTCCTGCTCTCCAGCTCCCTTCCAGGGATATTGCCTCTTGTCCTGGCTCAGCCTGGTTCCAGTCACTCAGATAAACCTGTCCTGGAAGCAGCAAGGACCTTCTGCAGCCTGCGGGCACCTGGAGCATCAGCGCCTGCTGCCAGGAGTGAAAGCTGAGTGCTTGAACAGCAAACAACCCTCTTCTTTCAGAGCTGTGTCATAAACCTAAAACGCTGACAAAGGTAGTTAGATTACACCTGTATAAACAGGCACTAATCAAAAATATGCTCCATAAACATCAGCTCTCAAAACACAGCTCTCCACCTCTGATGCGTATGGAACATGTTTATTTATCTACGAGCGAGCCTGCTGATTTACTCCACAAATCCTCAAACAAAGGCACTGCTTGCTTCTTTTTCCTCCTTTTCCTTGAAACAAAATCGCCCTGAAAGCACTCAGGTAGCATCAGCAGACACTCCAGTGACAGCCTCATGAAGTCACATCGGACAGTAAAGCTCCTGTTCCATTTCAAGTGACATTTAATGCAAATCCATGCAGTCCCAGGGACTGCACTGCTAACACGTAATGCCGGTGCTGAGAGGATGAAGCCCCGGAGGAGCTGAATTTTCTTTGATGCTGCCAAGCCTGTTTGCCTCCTCTCCCTGCCCTTCCGTTCTTTGAAAGCAGTTGCCGCTATGACACAGTATCTCCATCTGGCAGGGTGAATAAGCAGATCCACCCAGAACCATCAAAAAAAAGAAAAAAGAAAAAAGAAAGAAGTGAGTCAACACTAGAGATTTAAAGAAGTATTGTGAGGTTTCATTTCAAGCTAAGGGGATTGCTTTTAAATAGCTCCCTTTAGAGTATTAAACCTGAGGCAGTCACACCAACGCAGCAAAGCCCGCAGCCCTGTTCCATCACCCTCCTGCCACCAGCCAGCTGCTCTGCTCTCCAGTACTCACTGTCGCACGCATCCACCCCCGCGGCGCAGCTCCCAGTGCTGTACAGGAGCTGATTAGCTGGGATTGGGATGCATCCAAACCTTTCTCCCTATTTTTCAACGCTTAATGGCTATTCCATGTCCCTACTGCATGCCAAGACTGCTTCCACATCTGGTCTGCCAAGGAAAGCATGAACACCGGCACCATACAGCTGCAGATCCCAGCCCATCCCCGGGGACCGCCAGGGTGAAGCTTGATGCAAGTGACCCAGCAAAGCTTCTGCACTGAGAGCATAGCCCTGAAGCTCTGTCCCACTTCTGTAAGAGGAGAGTCCTGAGCTTCTGCTTTTAGCTGAACACCTCACCACCTCGTCAGCGTGCTGCTGCTGTGGGAAGAGCAGGAAATCGGATGTCTGCGGTGCTCAGCTTAGGTGCAGCAAAACAGGAGAACATCTGGGAATGTAATACGCAGTAAATACTCTATTTTGCAAGCCAGCAGGCTTTTGGGGGGGGGGGGAGCTGCCTGATCCTGAGGCTTCCTGCTGTCCCCCTCGAGACAGGCTTCACATCCAACCCTACAGCTTGTGAAATGCTCAGGCTTCAAATCCCATGAGAAATGGACTTCCTGGCAGCCACGCCAAGCCCTTCCGCTGGGGGTTCCTGATCTCCAACTAAGGTCATCTGCAGTCCTGATAATTAGCGTCACCACAGCAACATCACTGCATTACCCAAAAGAAAGTTCATCTAGATTCCTAGCACTCAATACATTAAAAGACTGCAAACAACAACAGCTGACGATGTCTGATTGGTGCTCACACTCCTTTTTAGGTGTGATCTTGGGACTCAGGCCAGGAATGAACCCAGCCTGGATCTCGTCCACCAACTCAAGAATCGAGAATCTCTTGTGGCTACTACAGGCACAACCATGGGGTCTGAGTTTCCTTGCTGCTGATTCACATACCTGAATGCAGGTCCCAGTGCACTCCTTGCAGAGGCTGCAGGACAAAGCCCATCTGCTTGCTGGGATATGTGAGATCTTTGTAATGGGTTCCATTTTTTCAGGACATCCAATGCTAACCTGGTCACAAAATAGAAGACATCGTCAATACCTGTTACTATCCCAAATCTCCTACAGGGATATCTGAGGCAGTCAGAATGAGGGGTGGATATTTTGTTTCTTATTTTTCAAGTCACTCCTAACTTGGGTAAAAAACCAACACAAAAACCAGAAACAACTATAGACAATGCTCTGGACTTTCTTTTGCATCCACCTGCCTGCCAATTTGAGCTAGTGTTTGCCCTTATTGTTCTGAATGCTGGTATGTCCTTGTCTCTCTGGCACTCCTCTTTGCACTTCGCATCAAGGGAGGACAATATGATACTTCACCCCTCCTTGGGGAGCGTGGGTATTTCCCATGAGCAGGGCAGCAGCTTGCACCCTCCAGTGTCCTCCTTAATGGGGAGAGCTGCTTGGCTGCTAATTAAACACTCAGCTTGGTGCCTCATGGGCACTGCAGCTCCAACCTCAGCAGGGCTCAATGAGCCCAACTGGAATTGCTGTTGATGGATATCTAAGCTCAGACCTGGGGTAATGCTATAACATGATGGAAAGTACAGCAACAATAGTGGAGTAGCAAAGTTCTGAGCTGCAGCAAACGATGGCAAGCCCAAACGCAGCAGCCATGGATACAGGAATGAAGGATGAAAATCTACTTACTTTGGAAGGCCTCACGCAGGCAAGGATCCCCTTGCCTCCACTGCCAACGTTTAAATGAGGTCTGGGAAGGGGTGGATCCTGGCTCCAGCCCTTCACTCAGCTGCACTGCATGCACCTGAGCTCCCCTGGGTTGGCCCAGCCTTCCCAGCAGGTGCTCCATCACTGCTTCAAGCTTTGCATTTTCGCTACACCTGGAAATCATGTCTGTGCCATATTTCAAGAGAAGGTTGGAAAGCATCTTACTTACTTCAGGTATCCATAAGGCACAGCTAACGTGGACCCATTTTGTCCCGCTCCGAGTGGGCTTCAGTGCTCCCCCTCTCTTCGGGCACAGCAAACACTTGGGCTGGACGCCGAGGGCGCAGGTCCGGCACAGCCAGCTGCCAATGGGGACCTTCAGGATGCCATAGCATGCCTGTGAGACAGGAGGAAGGTTGGTTAACCTGGCCATCCTGCAGTGAGCATCCTCCTGCAGCATGGCACACTTATCGCCACAGCATCTGGGTGTCCTGGTAAAGAACAGCAGACACAAAACTGCAATTAAAGCAGCCAGTTTAAGTTCTTCCTTCCTTGTCACGTTCCTTATTTTCACATGGATACTCATGCTGTATCAATATGTTCTGGGTTTTAATTAAAAGCTGAGTGTACAAATGTGCTTTATATCCTGCAAACGGGAGCAAAAGCAGTGAGAGCAGCTCCACGATACGGACATCTGCTCACTTATTACACATGCACTTCTGAACAACTCCAAAACCACAGTGGCTCACAGAACTGCCAGCTTGGGTGTGACCTGGTCCAGTGACCCAGAGACATGGGGTTTGCATCAGCAGCTCTCTGTGTGCAAAGGATGGGCAATGAGAATGTAAAACCAGCATGAGAGGAGCACAAACACACCTTGAGCTGACCCATCCCACAAGGCATGGGGCGGTGAATCTACCTCGAGGGTAGATAAGGGCTGTGAAGCCACAACCCTACAATTGGGAAAAATGGCCACACTGGTTAAACACCCAGCACAGACCAAAGGGGGAAGTGAAAATAACTGCGTAAAAGTAAAAAGGGGAAACTGACAGTAATGAATATAAATCAGAAGGGAGGAGCCCCAATCAGGAAGAGTGATAAACCCAAAGGACACGAGGACATATCTGTGGCCAAGGCAGTGGGAAGCAGAAGAGAACAAAAGGACTCTGCTGCCTGCAGAGCCAGCAGACCTGCTGCGATAACACACGGCACAGACGAGCCAAGGGGCTCAATAAATATTTCTCTTCCGTACTTGGGGAAGAGCCAAATGATAAGCTGTGTCACATAATGATAATGATAAAATACTTCCCACTTCAGCAGTAACTTATGATTGTAAGTTACATACCACTAAAACTGGACAGTCTTTAACCAGCAGGTCTCTATAACTTGCACTTAAGGAGTTTTAAAGAGTAGCAGGCAGCTGCCTTGGCCACTGACATGAGGCTGCAGGAAGTCTCACAGCACTGAGGGTTTCTGAGAGCAGTGGAGAAGCTTGTGCCTGTGCCATTATGTTAGGAGAGATGATTAATAACAAGTAATTACATGAGTATGGTACACCAGCATGGGAAAAGGGGATGCTCAGCCCTCACAGCCGGGGAGAGACTTTGTAGCACAATTTTAAGTTGCCCCAAACCATAAATGGACTCTGACAGTAGTAACTTCCATGGAGAAAAAGTCACTTTTTGAACATACTATTGGGAAAATAAAGGAGGTAATATGACTGCTGCAGGTCTACATGGTTCACAGAGACTTAAATGTGTTTCAAAGCACCTGCAAATGGGACAGACAGATCATTTCTGTAAGAGATTTTTATAAAGCACCTGATTTGGTATTAGGCAAAACCAAACAAACAACCCCAGCATGCATATCTGACCATGGCACCTCCTCTGCTTGGAGGCTTTGGGCTTTGTTGCTATGTGAATGGGGAAAGAGATGAGATCTCTAAAAGCTTCCAAGTGGGTGCTGAGGTTCAGACCCGAGTATGTGCCCCAAAAATAAGATAAAATCAGCCATTTCTTTCAACAGCCTTTAAATCCAACCCGCAGCATCATGCTGCTCCCAGCACTGGGGCTGCTGCCGGGTCCATCCGTCTGTCCTGATGGAGCCTGGCCCCCACACTGCTGCACAATGGGCACACGTCAGCCCACGGCCAGAAATTTCCACTTGAGTTCACTAAAAAAAGAAACACCAAAAAAAAAAAAAAAAAAAAAAGAAAAAAAAAAAGAAACCAACTCCAAACCATCCCCAAATCATCCTGGTATTTTGTGGAATCTGATTCACTGATGGAAACCATTCAAAACACCCACCTCTCTCAACTATACATATCTCCAGCACTCTCCCACCTCCAGGAAATGCTGATGGAAAAGCTGCCCAAAAGATGAGAAAATGGAGAGAAAAAAAAAAGCCAACAAAACACCCTTCTCAGAAAGGAGAGTAAAAAGGGGCTCTGCTTTGGATGCTGACATCTAAGGGCGCCACTCCTGCACTTCCCATTGGAGCCCACCCAGCAAAGCGTCCCTGGAGCCCCCACAGCAGGGATGGATGCTCAGCAGCAGCACACAGCCGAGCACTGTCCTGCTCCCAGCATGTGTGCACAGGAGCCCGCAGATACTGCTGCTCTTCCTTCTTCCCGCCAGCAAAGGCTTGCAGCCTTTACACTCAATTCTGAAAACATAAAATGCTTTCCTCCAGGCGGTGAAATAAAATGAAGTCATACATTCACAGAGCAGGGAAGCTGGGACAGAAGCTCTGTGATGTGCAACAAAGCTGGTGGAGCTGGAAGGTCCACCAACAAGGAAGGTCCAACAAAACGTGCAGACTGAAGGGAAGCCAGCAGCCATGCTGCTTGTCCCTAGGTGCTAAGGATCCCACAGCTTGGCAAGGACCAGGAACAACGAGCACATTCACGGAAGAGGAGGAATAAAAGATCACAGGGCTGAAGGAAAGAGGAGCTGGAGGCAGCACGCTCAGGGAAGCGGCTCTCGGGCTGCAGCTCACCTGGTGCACGCAGACGTTGCACTTGTCACAGAACACCATCTCGTTGCCATCCTCCCCCTCTGGCGAGCGGCAGACGTCACACACCACGTCCTCGTCGTACTCGATGCCCAGACCCTCCTCTGTTTCAATGGCGATGTTCATGTTCTCGTAGCACATCGTCTCCAGCTCCTCCAGCACTCTCTCCAAGGTGATCTCATCCAGCTCTGGCTTTTCTGCAAGGCACAAAGCAGAGATGGGGACATGGCACCCTGCGAGCACCCGCAGCGTCACGCAAGGCGGGGGGCACTTGAGACTTCAGCTCGAGTCAAAAACTTGAAATCCACCACGGTGGGAAGGTCTGCGATTCAGGAAACGGCTGCTTCTAACTCGGGATACAGTTCATGTTTCATAGACAGTAACAAAATATTGCTGCTGGCTGAGAGGAGAGAAATCCATTCAGCTGAACCAATGCGGATAATTAGGTCTGACAGCTTAAACGTTCAAGAAGACAAGTTCTGCGAAGATGCTTTCTGCAGTGAGGGCTCAGACAAGCTTTGGCAACACAAAGTCAATGCTTTAATTGCTAAGACTGTGAAAATTGACCCTTTTAAGGCCAATTAAATGGAACTGTAAAACGGAAGCCAAAGGTTGTTATTGAGAACAAACAAGTGTTTTTAACTGGCTGGGTCCATGGGCACAGGATCAGACCTGGGGTGGGAGCTCAGACTGGTTGTGCTGCCTGTTATCCCTGCCATACCAGTACCTTTAATGGAAACCAGCAGTGGACACGTGGATCTTTCTTACTAAAAGGCAACAGGAGACAATATCTCCTTTATAAACAGAGGAGAAAAGGGACTGAGGAAGTACTGATGTGTGGTTATTTGTTGAGAGTTCAAGGAAATATTCACCTTGCTGGGCTTCTGCTGGGCTGCAGAGTTCAGTCCATATGCTGGGACAAGCTCTGCAGCAGGACAAGGCTGCTGAGCTGCTCCTTTCCCCCACCAATCTGCCAAAAAATCTGAGTCAAGGGGCAAAGGAGACCTGCAGGCAAGACCAGCAAGCAAACGCACCATTGTCTGCCTTTTCAAGATCTTCCCCAATGTTTCACCTTGGCACGGTTTCCCCTGGCTTGACAAGTCTCTGCAAACACCCAGCCTGGCACTGCACACATCTGTGTGGAGGCAGGGATCCCATCGCCGCAGACAGAGCTGCTCCCCATCGCTCCCTGCCAAGTGCTCAGCAGCCCTGCTGCAACACACAGCCGGTTGGGCCTGTTCTGTTGAGCCGGATCTGGGAGCCACGAGCCCCACCAAAGGGCTTTGTGGGGCCTGAGAACCCCCAGCCCAGCACACTTTTTCCCTCAACAGTGGCCCTCATAAACACACCTCCCCAACGCCTTTGCTGTAGGAAGAAACACAAGCTGTCATTTCCATAGAATCGTAGAATGGTTTGGAAGGGATCTAAAAGACCACCTAGGGACCCTGCCATGGGCTGCTGCCCCCCACCAGCTCAGGCTGCCCAGTATCCCATCCACTGCCTTGGGTACCTTCAGGGATGGGGCACCCACAGCTCTCTGGACAGCCTGTATCACACACAGATATCACATTTACTATTCTAAATCCCATTCCTTCCCATGTTTCAAGTATCACTAGAAAACAAGAGAAGGAGGTTGGTGTCCACCATGCCCCTGCTCAGCTCCCATTCCACTGAGTGGAAAGGCTGCATCCCAGTGCCACAAGAAGTCATCGCCTGCAACAGAACGGCTTTCCTCACCAGCTTACATCAACGTATTTGTTACGTCGTCACGCCAAAAAACACAGCTCTCTCCCTCCCTCCTGCACACACGCGCTCTCACACTCCGTTTAGATGTAATTACATTAGGAACCCGTTTGCCAAGCGCCATTCAGAATACCTCAGAGCTTATTGAATTGACAATTGCACTTGATGGGGATGAAGCGATTAATCGCTTATGAAACACTAAACAATGGGGCCTGAGGGTGAAGTTCCTTTTCCATTTGCGCTCCATTTATCTCCTTCTGCATCATATAAAGCCACCGCTATTAAACTCCATTCATAAAATTGTCATTTTTTTGGCTGAGAAAACACCGTCTGTATTGATCACGGCCCATCAAAAAGCAAAACCAAGAAAAAAAAACAACACTCCACCAAAACACTCCCTGTGCAGTATGCAATAATACTGTTACCTGCTCCAGGGCATGAAGTGCCAAGAACCAGACTTGGATCCACTCGGATACACACTGGGTGCCTCCAGGTGAACAAGTGCAAGGAATAAACCTCAGCTCGCAACCATGCCTTGAACTGTAGCCAAGACTGTGGACTTGCAGCACGCTCATGCTCATCACTGTGGTCCAACATATTTCATACAATCAACAATCATTTCAGCTGTGAACCTCACCAAACCTGCGGGTCTTCCTGGCTCCCCTCACTCCCAGCCATGAGTGGCTCAGATGGATAGAACACCCCACTGAAATGCTCCCAGCTCAGGTGGCAGCAGGAGATGAAGCTCAGGTGGGTTTACAGCAGGAGATGAAGCTCCTGGAAGGCCCTTCATCTGAAGATGTGGCTCTGAGGCTCTATAGGGCATGAGGCACTGAAATGAGAATTTGCTCATTATCCCACATACTCAGAAATAAGGCTTTCCTATCCTTTTCCCTAGAAAGCGATGCTCCCTTCTGGCTCCCGCTGCCTCCCACGTTTCTGGGGACTCAGTATCAGCCCCAGGAGGAGCTCCCACACCCGCAGGCAACACCAGTACCAATGCAGCCACCATGGGATCCCCACTGGGACAAAGCCTCCCCCATTCCTGCCCCAGAGCTGGGTGTTCGTGGGCAGCCACCCTGAGCATCCCAACACTTCCTTTGCATGCTCCCAGCCTCCACTATCATTATTTCTGCAACACCATAATTTATGTGGCATGAAGGAGCAATATTCTGCTAAATGAATTCTCAGCTACTCCTTATCCTGGTTTGAGCCTATTCACTGCGCAGGGAGGAAAAATAGCTGGAGAGCCACCTCTCACAGAACAGAGACCTATTTCTGACTAAACTGCACTCCGCTGAAATCAATTTGCCGAAACAATAAATCCTTTTAGCCTGTGTAGTGTACCTGGAGATGAAACAGCTCACGAACAAAGACTCATCAGGGCTGCAGGCTGGGCCATTAGTCGATCCACAAGCCATAAACCTCGGAGTCTCTTTTTCAGCATAAAAACTGAGTAAACAAAACTACTGCTCCGTTTTCAAGAAACAAAACAAAAAAAGCACTTGTGAGATGATGCCTTTGAAACAGAAGGGGTAAAAGGATGCAGCTCCTGCTCAGCCCCAGGGCTGTGTCCCAGGGAACCTCACGAGGTCAGGCGGCGATGCACAACCCAGTGTGCACTCCTCGGTGCTCCCCAACCCTACAGCTGCTGCTGGTGAACCATCTGCAGCCCCGCTGCGCCTTCCTGCCCTGCACATCTGCAGCCCAACAGCCTCCCTCAGCCCACACTGCGTTTGGAAGATGGGCCCGTTCCTCATTCACTTCGTATCGATCTTATTTACCAACAGACCCAAAAACGTGGAGTGGGACCGCCGAAGCGCACGGCACCACGCAGCCTGCGTGAGCTGAACACAGGCAGTGAAACCTGGAGATATTTTGTCACAAACACAGCCTGCTAATGCACTTAAGAGATTTACAGGAACCAATTATCACCCTTTATGCCACCCACCGACATCAATTATTGCTCAAATTTAAGACGATGACAAAATGTTTTAGAAGCCACTTCATAATCTGCTGTCTCTCTCCTCTAATGCTGCGCACTGACAGAGCTGTCCTGGAGCACTCTGATTAAAACCTCTTCGCTCCACCCAGCAGCAGCACGCCGAGGATTGCTGGGAACTGCTGCAATTACTGCAACGAATTTATGGAAATAGCAGAACAGCGGCTTGACATAGAAACTGATTGGGCTGAGGAACGTGAAGGCAACACGAGTGGCGGAGGGCTCGGTGAAGCCTTTGTACATCAGCTGCCCCTCCTGTTTGTGGGATGTGGGGAGACACTTGAAAGGAGAAAGCTGGGCTGTTGAGTAAAGGAAATGGAACCCACTACAAAAGGGACAGGGCTGTGCACATCCTCCTGTGTGATGGTCTTGGGAAATGCCTCCCGGGGATAGGCAGCCCCTTGATGCTCCAGAGGCCCCATCACAGCAGTCCCATTAGAGCAGTCCCATCGTGGCAGTAGTTCCACTGCAGTATTCTCTGTCTGGCTGCACCAGTATAGCACTGGGTTACTTCTCTACAGCCAGAGCACGGCAGGAAATTGCGCCCCAAATCTTAAAAATACCAAAGCAACTTCACACAGCAGATACTGGAGTGGCTGTGCACGGAGCACGGTGATGGGCACCTGCAGGAGGGTGGCACCAGCTGGGCACAGCTGTGCTGGGGTGTTATTGGAGATGTCCAACCTGCAGCCCTGCCCTAGGGATCCAACACAACGCCTTGGGGAAAACAGGTCCCACGTCCTGATGGGACAGCCCTGGGCAGGGCGTCCCTGCTCTCCTATCGTACATTTAACAGCAGTTTCTGCTCAAGCGAGCTTGCCTTCCCCACGGTTCCTCTGCCTGCCCGGGTTTATTGCACATCTACTTGACCAACTTCACCTCCGCTGAGGGAGGCATGATCTAATTAGTACACAGACATATCTCAAGTATGCAGTGATGAATTCCCCCTGGAGCTTCAAAAGCAATAAATGTGACCTTTGCATGTTCCTGCCATAAAATAACAGGAACACCTCCAGCTCCCAAGATAGAAACTGTGGTGGGCATATGTGAGCAGCATACACCATATGGATTAAGTCAAGGGAATACTTAGAAACTTCTATTCTGCTTTCAGCAAAATTGATTCCGGCAACGTTTTTAGCAATTTCTTCAGGATTTTCCACATGTTTTTATGAAGTGCTGATCACTGCAAAAGGATCTTTCAGCCCAGTCTTTGAAGTCTCTCTAGCCCCACTCTCACAACAGCTTTGTATTTAACAGAGATCCTAACATATAGCATAAAATCTTAATGAAAAAAAACAAAGGCTCATGGCATGGTTTCACCCGGAAAGGGCAGCCCTGTGCTGCCAGCAGCGGCGTGTGCATAAAATGGTTCAGGGTTTCATTCACACAACCTCAAGATCCACTTCTTGCACTGTCTCCTATTGCAGCAGCAACAAATAAAACATTCAGGCTCGCTTAAATATTGATTTTACCCCTAGCACTCAGAAATCCTTCAGACAGCGCATTTCCATCAAGTACAGTCCCAGCTACTGAACCACATTACTGGTGGGGATGGTTTAGAAGTATTTAAAACCATTTTATGAGAAAAAAGACTTTCCCTTTTCAGAAAGGCTGCCCACCTAGCTCAGAGTGGAGCAGCAGCGGCAGATAGCTGCAGCTATCTGGAGGTTTATCTGATCCCAGTGATAAAATTCCATCTCAGAGGTGACCTAAAAAGGACTGGAAAAGGCATGTGCTGTGCTCAGCGATCAGCGCTGTACTGGGATGAGCTAATAGGTGTTTTCCAGCTCTCCTCCCCACGGCTGCTCAGGAGCCAGTCAGAGATCACGCTCCTTCTTTGTCATTGAATACTTTGTGGATGACACACTGTGCCCATGAACTGCCCAATGACAGCAGCTCAGCTAAACACCCAGGAGGAATTTCAACTTCTGCATATCTCTTCAGGCTGGGAGATAACTTCTGACTTCTCTGAATTGGGGGAGAGGCTGCAGCTCTCCAGTTAAGTCATGTCAATGATCTCAGAGATTAGCAAAGCTGGTTTGGAAATCTCAGCATGTCATTAATGTCGAGGGCTTCCGGGAGAAAGCGATATTTACGGATCACCTGCAGACCACCCTAAGCACGTTGCAGCCCTCTGCGTGAGGTGATGAAGGGCACAAAAGCTCCATTTCCCACCTGGCTGAGCACCCGATGGCCCCTGCCCTGAAGGAAGCAGAGGCTGAGCCCTGGAGGGCCACAGACCTGTGCCTCACGTGCTCGGGGCACTGCAAGAACTGCGCCAGAGCCAGCCCTGATGTGCACGTGGGAGGGCTGGGGATGGGGAGAAATCATACACAGCTTTGGGCTGCAGCCACATTTGCAGTAGATTTCACACAGCAAACACTGTTTTCCCAAGCTGCCAGCATATTTCAGGCTCACACGGTAATTACAGAGCTCTTTTAGCAACAGGAATGGACTGAGGAATCGGCTGATGGGCAGTGAGTCTCTTCACATTACCGCTGCTGCAATCCCCTGGGCTCATTACTACCATCCATAGTTGTTATTACAGAGGGCTCACTAGGCACTGCAGTCCCTGTTCTGTATGGATACCCCCACAGGACCGCTCTTGTGAAAGCTCATCTCCTGATGAATGACAGAGCTGCAGGAACAAAATGCAGCTAGCTCAGAACTGCAGAGAGCATTACTGGCAACGCACTGGCTGCATCCTGACATCAGATCCAGGTGCGTCTGTCTGGGTGCCGTGTGTCCATACACACGCAGTGCCAGCCCAGCATGCAGCCTGCAGAGCCAGGTGCAGCACGGGAGCTGCTCTGGGTTGGTACTCATCAGCCCCACATTGCATAACTGGGAAGGATGCAGCCAGCACACATCTGGCTCTGCTGGAGCATCACCAACCCGCTTCCGCGGCACCAGCCCCGGCTCAGCCTTCAAGTGATCCATCAGCCAGGGAGCCCCACATCTGAAAACCATTTCAGGCATTGTGTTTGTAACCAAATACTTTGAAGAAATAAAGCGAGCCAAGTTTAACCCAACCGAGCTGGACAAGGCAGTTCTCTGCCCTCTGCCTTCCTAGAGACTAAAGGAGTGTGTGCGAGGGGAACTGAAATAGATACAGAGCCCCATCCTGGAGCCCAGAGATGCCCCTGACAGCCACTCAGTTTCGGTGGGAGGGGGACCCACAGGAGCACCACTTATCTTTTTTGGGAGCACCGATTGCTCTGCTCTGTCTGAAGGCTCAGCCTGAGCTGCAGTGAACCCAAACTGAGGTGTGTAGTGACAGAGATAACGCTGCTAACAGAGGCCCAGTTAATGAGGACAATGCTGATTGCGACCTGCTAGTTACACAAGCTCCACAACACCAGGTCTGTCCTCTTCAGCAGTGCATCAGGTCTGTTCAAGCACTTGATAATGTGCTTGTCTCACCCTTGAAGACTGTTGGAAGTGGGAGCAATGGGCAGGCACATTGCAGCCTTCATTGCACTCAAAAGGTGAATGTTTTATTGTTTTGTTATTCTTACCTGTATGGCAGCAACCACACCACAAGGACTGGGAAATCCCTCCAATCCCAGGTAGGACTACACACCCAAAGCCCATGCCAACAGACCATGCACAGCACAACGGTCAAATTCCCAGCCCAGTTACCTGCATTCAACCAAGACGTGCTGATGATAACTTTAAACAACATAATGCCTGCTCAGCGGCCAGCCCTGCAGGACTCACCCATCTCCTTCAGCTCCATGTTCACGAGCTCCAACCAGCAGGCATCCAGCTCATCCAGGTCGTAACGGCTCATGCCCTGCAGGTACGTCCTCGTGGCTTCTGAAATCTCAGAGCCCGGCAGGCTGCTGGGGGACACTGGGGAAGGCAGGTTCTCCAGTTGGGGTATGATTCTGGAAGAGAGGAATGAGAGTTTGAGAGACAGTTACAAAGCACCCCGCTGGGAGCCCAGTGGCCATGTCTGGCCATGAAGGTGCACTTATGGCACTGATAGTCTGACTCTAGGAATGAGAGCACAGCTTGAGGCAGGAGGGAGATGAAGCACTGCTAAAAAGGTGAAAGGAATCAGCAGTGAGTAACTTAAAGCGTTCATTGCTAGCTCCTGAGGAAAGAGGAGGGGACCTGAAGGGTTGAGGCTGCTTCAACCAGAAAGAAAACAGCTCTGTCTGCCGGGAATGGAGCTGTGCGACTGCCATCACACCAGAAAGAGGAGGGGTTGCTGTGTGCCAGGGTAAACTGGACACAGCACCAAAACAAACGGCTCAGGCTCATTTTTTCATGAACAGTTTTGATGTCATCAAGGAGGAAAAAAACCAACATGTAAAACCAGAAAAATATCCACTTTTGACTTTGATAAACAGTCTGTTCCCATGGGCAGGGAGTTTGCACTTCGCCTGCCTGCTCTGCCCACACAAAGCCATGCCAGCTGCAATGACCATGGGAGACACAGACAAAAAGTGCCCCTATATAGACTTAAATAAGCACAGCTCATACAGAGGATTGGCTTTTACTGATCTGGAATGAAGCTCGTTCTGCTAGCTCACGCCTCCATATGCCTCAGCCTCTATCAATCAGTCTCATCACATTGATCACTACAGAAATAACGCTGGCACCGCTGCCACATTCAGGCTTTAACATCATGCCCCACTCCTCCTAAAGCCCCTTGGATGCTTTTCAATGAGAACCAACCTCTCCCACTCCCCCACGCTCAGCACAGCCCTGCGGATCACAGCCAGGATCAGCGGCCGGGAGGCTTTGTGTCGGGGTCTCTGCAGGAACCCTCTCACTTTGCAGGAGTTACGTGATTTCCCTTCACGCTGTGAGAAATTAAGCCACTTTTACACTTTGCAGGGATCCTTGCTCCTTCTCTGCCTCACGAGCACTGCTGCATGCCTGCTGCCAGCAGCCTCCCACGTGTGTCCTCCAGTGCCAAGTGAGCCAGCACGCCCGTCCCTCAGAGAGCAAAGCTGGGGCTTTGCTCTCTGCCCCCTTCTCAGCTCAGCACCATGCAGGCAGCTGGGGCTGGGCTGGAAATGCCAATGTCAACCAGCTGCCTGCCCAGGGAGCCAGCCCTGGTGCTCATACAGCACCAACAGCATCTGCACAACACAGCACTGAGAGCACAAGTCAGCCAGCCAAGGGAGAAGTGCCCTGAAAGGTCATTTCCCTCTGCCCTTCCAAATCATATCCATGATGAGCAGCTTTCCTCATGGCAATAGTTTTCCCATTACTGCTCACTGACTGGAGCACAATGAAATGAGTGCTGGGCTGCAGGGGTGAGATGCTCAAGGGCAGCCCTGATTGCTATGTGCAGGCCTCCAGCTCCCGTTTCTGCCCTGGTTTGTGATGCCTGCAGCCCCATGCCTGCTCATGGACATGTCCCACATCCCACGTCCCACATTCCATGTCCCACACTGCATGTCCCACATCCCATGCTGCTCGGAGCAAGCACACTGCAGCAGCACCGACTGCAGGCTTCCTGCCCAGCACTCGCTGTCACTTCGCCTGCGCTTCTTGGCAAGTCAGCAGCAACATGGATGACACTTGCCATGCACACGTCAACAGTGTCACACGTAATGACATGCAAGCAGAGGATGAGCTGGAAATAAGAAGCAGCCTGCGGTGCCAGATGACAGATCTCCGCAAAGCTGGGAGCTGGAGCTTGCTGCAGTATTTGCACAGCTCACGTTTCTGCCCCAAAATATCACCTAACAGCCAGACGTCAACACAGAGAAATGCTGCAAAGAAACACAGTGAACAGCACCGCCGTCCCTTCCCAGCTGCTGCTCTGCCTGGAGCAATGGCTGTGCAGGGCCTGGGGCTCCGACCCTCCTGCACCACCACCATCAGGTTCTGCAACTTTACACGACTTGCACCCAGCCTCTTCTGCCTTCCTTTCCCCATCAGTGGATTGAAAATAACAATACTCCTCAACACTCCGAGGGCAGCTCCTCCAAATCTCAGCTGAGGATCGGAAAGTAAAGCCATGAAAGCACAGTTCTGTGAGGCTCCAGACTTTAAAATGAGCTCGCTGTAATCTAGGACAGGGCTTGGGGATTCAGCAAAGTCTGTATTTAATGTATTTAATGCAGACAGCAGTAATAACACTGAAACTATGCGTGCTCCCAACGAGCTTCAGGACTCTCCTCCAAGGAGCTCCCAGCCCCATTGAATACCCTGGAGCCACGTGCTCCCAGCAGAACTGATACTCTCTGTCCCATGAGCCATGATCAGGGCGGTTTGCAGAGCACCAGGCCCTGGGCTGAGCAGCAGCAGGCTCAGCACGGGGGCTTGGAGTCAAAAGCTCTGAGCAGTGGAGAAAAGACACCCAGAAGCACTGGGCACTCCTTCAGAGCTGTGCCTCCTGACCTCCTTAATCCCCGTTACACAAGCAGCCTGTGGCACAGCCCTGCAGCAGGTACTCGAGGCGCGTTGCCTGGCTTTGCAAAGAGCTCAGTGATGCAATCACAAAGCTTCACGTGGGGATTGATGCTAACAGCACTGCTGCCGAGTATGCCTGGAGTGTGGCTGCTCCCCACACTGCAAAGTGAAAAGGGTCTTCTGCTCACTGTGCAATACAACTCACAGGACTGCTCTTTGCTTCAAGACCAAGTTAATGAAAACACAAAAACCTAACGGTGCCCCACACGCTTGCTCAGCAGCAGCATCTGAAACATACCTGGAGCAGCAGTGCCAAGCACCTCCCAGACCCGAAGAACAGGTCCTGGGGAGCTCGTAGTCAAAGGCTGCATCCATCACTCATTGGTCCCATAGGAGTGAACACTGATATCGAACATCTCTTAACACAGTTTCAGCAGGTGAAACAGCACTCCTAAGAAGCAGCACATTCCCTCCTAATACACTAATATACATGGCAAGGAGCTTCTTGTTATTCAGAGTCACAGAATCACTTGGTTTGGAAGGGGCTCTTAAAGGTCACCTTGTCTCACGCTCCCCTGCAATGAACAGGGACACCCACAGCTCAACCAGGTCCCTCCACCTCTCTGGGCAACCCGTGCCAGCACCTCACTGCCCTTACTGAGGCACCCAGCAGAGTAAGATTTTTCATGGAGCACACGGACACAGCAAGAGGTGCAGAGGCTCTGTGATGTGCAGAAGATGCTGAGAGGAGAGACATGGAGCGTGACCCCAGGCTGGAGATGGGAAGTACCACGGGGCCCCATGAATCATAGCCAGAGCTGCAGAGTGCACCAAAATGGGAAGATGGGCAGGAGGTGCATGACAGCAAAGCAGGAAACAAAAATGAAAGCAAGCAGGAGTTTATGCCTTGATTTAGCAAGGTAGCATTTAAAAGTATTTGTATCAATCAAGAGCTTATTTAAACGAAGGGCTGAAAATTGGGATCAGCCAGAAAAGCACAACAAACCTGAGGCCATTAGTCTGCAAGTGGGTCTCAAGGGCACTTGAGGGAAAGAAGTAAGTGGACCCCAACACTCTCGAGGATCACATCTATCCTGGGAGAAGATTATGTGGTAATAAAACACACTCAGCCAATTCCCATGGTTAATCATCTCTGCAAACGGAATGCTTCAGTTTGGCTGAAGGGAGAAGGCTTTTTTTTCCCCTATATTCTCCCTTTTAATATACCAGATAGAAATAATAAATAACCCCACACAGCACTTCCCTTCCGAAAATACTTTGCCTTATGACAACGAAGGCTTCAGCCACTCATCTTCTCACTACCTACATTCCAGTCTAAATTAGTCCTGTCCAGTGTCCATAAATAAATCAGCTTAGGAAAGTCAGTGGAAAGATAATTCTGCCAGCAACCTTCAGAGGATGCTGATCCTGCTGTGCTGCCAGCTCTGCTCGCGGGGGAATTCTCCTGCAGCACACTCCAACTTTAAAAAGGCATTCTACAATTTAAAGGGATGATTTTCATTTTCTGTTTATTAAAATAGTATCCAGAAGGCAGTCAGACCAGATGCCCTAGCTTCTTACCAACTTAAGCTCATGGATTGTATAAGCACTGTTGCTTCCGAATAGCGGAGCAGGTGTGAGAAAAGGAGCACAATGGTGAATGGGTGACAGGGCTGGGGGCTGCACCACAAACAGCACTCTGTGACCCTCCATGTGCCCAAGCCCTGATTAATTAATGGTTGTTATGCCACCTCTATGGCTCCTATGAAAGTCTGTAACACCGTAAGCCAAAAAATGATAGTCCAAAAAAAAAAAAAGGGAAATCCAAGGAGATATGACAGCAATCAGGCTCTACATGAGCTGGCCTGATGTTGAAAGCAGCACACAGGTGGAGGGGAGGCAGCTGGAGGAACATCTCTGGGATGTGGGTGCAGGTCCCAGCAGGTGGCTGAGGATGCTGCCCCTGTAGCAGCACAGTGTGGGAAGCATTCCCACCCAGCTCCCACACCAGAGGACTCAAGATTTGGCAGCTGTCTTTGCAAACACGTAACAGAGAGAATCAGGATCAGCTCAGGGGGGCAAAGGTGGGGAATGCAAACCCTCGGCTGTGCTTCCCTCTGCTGTGAGGCCAGCCTGCTGCCAGCACCTTACCAAGCACATTTCTAGCAAGAAAATCCTTTCCACACAGACCTGCCTGGTACATCTACATGGCAGTGAGCAGCTCCCTGTAACTGCACCGTTTGTCACTGCTGCTGCTGGGCTTCAGGGCTTTGTACCTTCAATTCCATCCCTGCGGTCCCCAGCTGACCGAAATCTGCACTGCAACTGAAGACTGCGGTATTTTTCCTTTCTGCCTCCCTCTTGCTTGGTATAACCCAAACCTTCAGCAAAGCACTCATTATAAACACCTGGGCACGGATACATGCATGGCTCAGCACTGAAGCTCCTGCCTGGCTCCTTGCTGCTGTTTCAGGGGAACAAAGCAGTTGGATTTAGCCCTGGGTGGATGCAC